GGCGGGCGGCTGCTGGGTCTCGGCCTCGCTGCTCATGGTTGCGGTGATGGTGACTGGGGCCGGCTGCGGCAGCTACGGCTCCTCCCGGGGTGTGATGGTAACTAGGCCGGCGGCGGCGGTGGGGCTGCTCAGGGCTCTCTGGGGTCCGCTCTCCGCTCCCGCTACCGATCGAACTAGCGAGAATGGCGGGACGGGCGGGATAAGCCCTGCGTTCGACCCGCCCTAAGCATCTTTCACTGGCCAGAAATATTGTCAATCTCGCCACCTGACCCCAATTCCTGACACCTATTGGCTAATGTTTTATCACTCCTCCACTTTCATTGGCTCTTAGGCGGCTAATTCGACCGACCTACAACCGTTCCTGCCTCCGCCGCCGCCATAGAGACCGGAACTAGAATTAGAGTAGTCGCCACGAGAACCATAGAGTACCCGAGAGGACGGGCAGAGTGAACGTGACTTTCACGAGGCTGCAGCTTGGGCTGGCGGGCCATACGTCCAGGCTTGTTTCTTGGTCGTAGGAAAGGCACGGCTAAACGCCTGAGCTGGGATTACCTGATCCGGGGGCTTGGAAGGGGCCCCGCCGATACCTTAGCCCCATGTGGAAAGGCCTACCTTCCTTCCTGCTCCAAATATGGTCCTTGTGACCTCAGACCATTACTGCCAATAGAGCCGTCTTTTCTACAATGGCCGTGTTACTTGCGGCACAGCAGAGGATTTCTGGAACAGACTTAAACGTATGCATTCAAAGAGCGTCCGTTTTCGGCGGAGCAGTCACCTTGGAGGGACCACGCAGGCTCTCAGGCTGCCACTGCTCGGCACATTTAGGGCGGAGGGCGGGGGCGTACTCCATGGGGATCTGCCTTACGATCCATTTTACCAGGCATATTAAGGGCTGTCTTATTAAACATTCACGTCTTTTTGCATTGGCCACAAATCAGAGTTAATATCAAAAGACGTTTATTGAGCAAGCTAGGCATTTTTCTTGCATTTTATTCTTACAACAGACACGTGAAATAGGGATTACTATCCACGTTTCACAAACGATTTATAATCGAGGTTGCCACATGCTGCAGCTGAAGTTCTTAATTCGTTGTTTATTAAGCGTCTACTATCTGCTTGGGATAGACTAGTCTGCCAGTTTCTGCCTTAAATTCAGTGTAGGGATGAAGTCAGAAACTTAAACACCCAACACCCCAGCGTTGCAAAAACAAAGCATTTAAGGATTGAAAGTGGAGTGCTGACTGCAGGCACTTGGAGGTTTATGCAAAGACCTAGAGGCTAGACAAGATAGGGTTTGAATGGAATGCAAGTATTACAATAAGACTATAATGAAGACATTGGGTTACAGAGGTAGGCAGGGTGAAATTAGGGGTATTTTATTTGGAATTCATCCTAAAGGCAGTAGTGAGAAGAGTAATTTAGAGCTGTAACCAGGGAGTGGCATAATTTATTTAATGGTTGCTAAGTGGAGAACGGGTTGAAGAGGGGCAAAAATGGAAGTAGGGAAAAGTTAGGCTAGTGCAATAGTCCTTATCCCATCAGTATCATCCAGGCCTGTCAATTCTACTTCCTAAAGGCCTCCTTGAATCAGTCCTAAAAATCTTTAATCTCTTCATTCCTCCTGCCACCACTCTAGTGTAGGCCGTTATCTATTGCTTAGAGCAGTAGGCAAATTTTTGTTTTTCCAAAAAAACTTTTATAGACACTAAAATTTGAATTTCATGTAATTTTTACATCACATATTCTTTAGATATTTTCAACCATTTAAACATTAAAAACCATTCTTATTCTTAACCATGAGCCATTGAAAAACGGAGATGGCCCGCTAACTGTAGTTTGCTGACCCTATCTTAGAGCACTGCTATGGCCTCCTAGCCAGTCTCTCTACCTCTTTCTTACTCTAATATTCCCCACCACAACATCCAGAGTGTTCTTTTGAACATGACACTGTCTTATTTAAAATCTTTCGGTGACTACCACCACCCTTAAGAAGGTCCAAATTTCTTAATGTGGTTTACAGGACTCTATGACTTCTTTAAACTTACCTCTCATCTTTCACATTCCTTGTCCAATCTTCCAGACCTTTAGCCATTGCCTTCTTTGGGCTATCACATACTATTCCCTGCACTCATAAACTTCCTTTCTCTCTTCTTTGCTTGCTTAACTCTTCCTTTAGGTCTTGCTTCAAATGTTACTAGGTCAGAAGGCCCTCCTATCCTAACACTAATGCACTAATTTAATCTTCCCAAACTATGACTTCCTGGAGCATCTAGCACAGTACCTGACACAATATCTTAATAAATTTGTTAAATGAATGAGATGGTGTAGAAAATGGGTCAGAGAAGGTGGTAGTAGCGGCAAAGAGGTCATATGGGCAGTTGTACCAGTAATCCATGTGAAAAGGCTTCCAGCAACAATGTGTATGGAGAGAAGTAGGTGGAATCTAGAGCTGCTATTCATCTGTTCCAGCTCTAGATGACTTTTGACTGCTAAAAAGAAAATGTTTCCTCAAAAGGCAGTTCTGCCAACACTGAGGACATTTAAAAGTGTGCCTGATAGGCTTGAGAGCTTTTACCCAAAGTGGAGTTGCAAAGACAAAAGGGCAGCAGCACTTTTGAGAATAAGTGAGCAACCTTCCCCATGTAACTGCTTTGAAGGGAGGGCTTCTCAAGCAAGAATATGAATTCTGTAACATTTGTCTTTAAAACGTTACTTAAAAGTATCATTACTTACTCATCCAATTAAGCTCTCTCCTGCTCCTTGGTCATAAAGATGAGCTACTTTCTGCTAGTTTCCTTGTAGCCACTTCTCTACCACTGCAGGGATGGTAATGAAGCACTGGAAACCTGTTCAGGTCAAAATTCTTCTGTTGTGAGGTGAGAGCTCTCTACTTCACAGTTCTTCTAGTCCCAATGCCACCCCAAGAGCTCCCACTGCCCAAGATGGTGACCGCAGTTCAGACAACTCCAGTGCCTACCTTTAAGTGATGTGAAAGGCAAGGCAGTTCATTCGGAGCATTTCCTTTGCAAAATAAGTTTCACTTTCTTCCCCATCTCTAACAGATTCTGGCCAAAGAACACAGTTCCCTCTTCCTGGAAAGCCCTGCCCACTCATCTCCTGGCTAATTCTAACCAATCTGTCAATACTTGCTCTTCCTCTCACTGTCAGTCTCTCCACCCTGCTCCCATAGCATCTTGTACACAGCATTACCATTCACATAACAAATGTTTATTGAGCACTTACTAGGTACTGGATGCTTAAGTCTTCTAGGTGCTGGAGACACAGTTTAAAAAAAAAAAAAGCGTCCAATTTTCCTGCCCCCATAAGGGCTCACATTCTAATATTCACCACATTGTATCAAAACTGTGCCTATCTCCTGTCACAAGCATGGGCCACATCTTATCTTTGCAGCTCCAGTGAACAGGACAGAGACTGGCATAGAATGCAGGTGCCAAGTATAACTGAATTCAACTGAATGGCCCATCACAAGAATGTCAGCTCAGGATTCCAGCTGCTCATCCTTCCTATCTCTTTATAATTCCATTCTGTCTGGTTACTTGATCACAGTTCTTCACTGTGTCCCCTGAATCCTGTTTACCTAGCTACAGAGTTGTAAATATCTGTACTATAGGTCCCCTGTATAGCTCACCGTCCCTCTTGTTCTCCAAACACTGAAATGGCATTTACCAGGTTCTATTCTGTCAGAGAATTCAACTGTTACCTCTGCTGCTGCAGTAGCCTACTGCCAGTTAGTTGTAGGTCATCTTGTCCATTGGCCAGGAGAAAGTAGAAATGGGAAAACATAGAAATTGCCTCATGACAGGAACACCAGGGAAGTCTCTTTACCTCTTGAACATTATACTCAGTGGAATCTTTTTATGTTGGGTTATTTCCTTTCAAAACTAACATTTTGTCAAGGCATGTTACTGTTTACAAGTTACCTTCATATCCATTCTCTTATTTGACCCTTTCAACAATGCTATGAAGTAGATAAGTATTATTATCCCCATTTTATAGATGAAGAAACTGGGGATCTGAAAGGGACGGTGAACTTCTCAAGGCCTCAGCTGTTTAAAAAATGACCCCAGATTCAAACAAAGATTTTTGACCAAACTATTCACGCTTCATTGTGACTATTTGGTACCTTAGTTTTCTGTCAAATGGTCTCCCATCCAAACACATCCCTCCCTACAGGCTTCAGAACTAACCAGAAACTACTACTAGTGGAAACATCCTTGGAATATGTCACGGTATAAGGCCCTGGGAATTTGCCTTCTTCGTTCAATCAGCTTGAACCTAAGAAGGGACTGCTACAACTCCTTGCAAATCTGAGCAACTAGACATAGCAAGGGCTTGGCTCTGGTCCACGCTGGCCTTGCAGCTAGGAGAGTGAGTCCTAGCTGAAGCTAAATCATGAGGAGATGGGGCTATCATTACAACCATTTAAAAACAACACACATACAAAACAAAAAACTTTATTTACAGTTGAAAAAACATGTGTGATACTTCCAAGGTCTCTTGATCAAACAGGGCAACAGCAGGCAAGGAAGCAAACGGGCCAATCCAGATCTTACTCAAGAGCATCACCCAGAGCAAGGGAAGGCCTACAGTGGCAGAGACATGAAGGTCTGTGAGGGATGGAAGAGATATGCAGCTAAGAAGAACTGGAAGGAGACATTCCATGAGAGACAAAGTTCCCACCTCCTCTACACTCCTAATCCTCTTTAACCAAAAAAGTAAAACCAATCTGATTCTTGCCATAGGCTAGACCTTTGGTTCTCCAGAGTGAAACTGAAAAGTATATTATACAAGAACCAAAAAGATAGAAACTAACATTTATGGCCAAGCATACTATCTCATTATTTACCCATTACAACTCCATGCAATATACATTATAAAATTAAGCAAAGAGAAAACTAGGGTACCAAGGGGTTTAATGGCTTGACAGTGATGGGGCTTCCTGGTGTACTGGCTGCAAAGCCTGTGTTTTGTTTTGCTTTGTTTTTTGCCAGACCTTGTGGCACTCTGTGGAGCTCTAGAACAAAGAGCAATCCTTCTTCCTTGCAGGTTGTGGTTCCTGGGTTATAGAGAAAGGAAATTCCACACCCTCTGTTTATGTCCTTGGAGTTAGCTGCACTTAAAGAACATGGTGAGTACACTCAGATACTACTGTCTCTCTACCCACAAACATGCCCACACCCCTCCTCCTCCAGAGGACAGGGAGTCTTGGTTTTATACCGCGGGCTCAAACAGAAGTTTAACTTTGGGCCCTAAAAAAGAATGTACAAAAATGTATAAAAATACTTTATAAGTTGCATGGTGCTCCAGTACTTAAGCTCTGTCATAGACAGGGCACTGTATTAGTCAGCATGGTCCTTGCCTCAAGGAGTTCTCAGTCTAGAGAAAACCAGACCAACACTTTTGTGATCCTTTGTGTTAAATGTTATTAATAGCAACATGAACCAAGTACTAGGGGCACCCAGGAGGAGACCACTGACTCTGCCTAGGCCAGGAAGGAGGAGATGGAGGAACTGGGGAATGATTCAAACTGATGTTGGCCACATGCTCCTGAGAAGAGTTGGGAGGGACTAGTTAAAACTGTACATATACTGTTTTAACATATATTGTATTTGTTATAAGAAACATGCTCAATGTAGAAAATTCAAGCATATACAGGACAATATAAACTGAAAAGGAAGTCTCTTTGCTATCTACTCTGCAAAAATAACTATTAATACTCAGCTATATATCACTACAGAAATTTCTGAAAGTTACTCAAAATAAGTAGTAGTATGTTTATATAATATACTACATCTTGACTTTGTCACTTGATTTACCTTAGAAATCTTGCCAACACATACAGATTTACCTCTTTCTTTTTAAAGCTATACAGTATTCCATTGATGAGATGTACCTCAATGTGTGAAAGACCTAGTTATGACACAGAGAGTTTTGCCTTTGTACAGCCATATGCTACATAGCAATGTTTTGGTCAACAAAGGACAGCATATACAACAGTGGTCCCATAAGATTATAATGAAGCTGAAAAATTCCTATCGCCTCGTGACGTTGTAGCCATTGTAACATCGTAGTGTAAAACTCATGTGTCTGTAATGATGCTGGTATAAACAAACATACCACACTGACAGTCACAGAAAAGAAAAGCAACACAATTATGTACACTGATGATAATAAATGACTTACTGGTTTATATATTTCCTATACTATACTTTCTATCAGTATTTTAGAATATACTCTACTTAGAAAAGTTTGCTATAAAACAGTATGCCGTTACACCAGCAGCATCTTGTGCCTACCCCAGCTCCTGATTGCATCAGTTGCTCTTGTGCTTGATTTAATCTTGTGTTTCTATAAATTTAGTGTAGCCTAACTATTCAGTTTATAAAGTCTATAGTAGTGTAAGTACTCACCACTCACTGACTCACCCAGAGCAACTTCCAGTCCTGCAAGCTCTATTCATGATAAATGCCCTATACAAATGTACCATTTGTAAATCTTTTATACTATATTTTTCTGTACCTTTTCTATGTTTAGATATGTTTAGATACACAAATACTTATCATTGTTACAATTGCCTACAGTATTCAGTACAGTAATACGCTGTACAGGTTTGTAGCCTAGGACAATAGGTTATACCATATAGCCTAGGTGTGTAGTAGGCTATACCAGCTAGGTTTGTGTAAGTATACTCTATGATGTTAGTTTGCACAACAACAAAATCGCCTAATGACGCATTTCTTAGAATGTATCCCTGTTGTTAAGCGCCTGTGACTGCACTGGATTGTACTGGAATGGAGCCAGACATTCTCCTCTCCCCTCCCTTTTTAGCTGGCAGGGCTTCTGACTTTCAGGGCAGGGAACAAACAGTGTCACACACCCAGCAGGCATGCAAATATTTGCTGCCAAATCTCTAGTGCTCTCGAGACCCATATTTTCACGTGGAACCTCTTTTCTCTTGCCTGGACTGCTGTAGTGGACACCTCATGGGCTTCCACCCCATCCTCCACATTGCTGCCAGAATCAACTTCTAAACAAGAAAATTCAAGCACGATGTTCTCCTGCTCAAAATCCTTCAGTGGCTCCTACCAGCTTGGTTCTTTTTCGAGGGTCAGGCCCCCTTTTGAGAATTTCAGGAGCACATTGGACTCTCACCCCATGAAGAAAAAAAGAATGTACATACTGCCTATAGCCCTTCCCCACCCTCAGGAACACATATGAACTCCTCAGCCTGCACTGGTTCTCACAACTGGCCCTGGCCTCTGCCAGCCTCACCTCTTACTGTTTGCTTTTCATACCTTCCTGCTTTGGCTATATTGAATTATTTGCAGTTTCCCTTACACTTCCTGCTGTTTCCTGCTTTTGTGCTTTGCTCATGCTGTTCCCTTTCCTTGGAATGCCCTCCCCAGTTTTAGCCACCTGACAAGTTCTATTCTTTCATGTTCAGTTGAAGCATCATCTTTTCTGCAGTCTTCCCAAACCAAACCAGGCAGACACAGGCATTCGCACTTTCCTTATTTTGTCCTAAAATGTCTAGTCCAGTGCTTTATTGTACTGTAATTGTCAGTTTCCCAAGAAACTGTGAGTTCCTTGAAGGCAAGAACGGGGCTTTTCAAATATGTAGCCTCATATAGAGCATGGAATAATACAGAGCATATTATTTTTCAATTATAGTTGACATACATTATTATATTAGTTTCAGGAGTACAGCTTAGTGATTAGACATTTATATACCTTAGGAAGTGATCACCTAGCATGGGACCTATCTTAATTACTGCTGAGTTGTGGGATGAAGGAGCAGCCCATGTGCCACAGACATGTCTTTCATAATTTTCCTCCATAGGAATGTATCACATCTACATCTGCAGGTAATCTCAGAATGGGGGATAGTGTTTCCTAAACTTCAGTCATTCCAACAGTACTTTCACAACTGTTACCATATCCAAAGGTACAATTAACTTTTAATGTAATCACTATTTGAACTTCAAGAATGGCTCATTATAAGCTATAATAACTGCAAAATTATGTTGTGCTCATTATAAAATTTTTTCAAAAGATTCAAATATTAAAATAAAAGATATCCATCCCAGCAATACTGAAAGCAGTGTAAGCCACATTTCTCTGATAAGAAGCATCTCAGATGCTTGTTACAAACATAGCATCCTGGGTCCTACCTCTAACTCAATCAGACTCTGAAGGGGAGGGATCTGGGAATTAGTAGGTTTCACAAATGCTCCAAAATGATTCTTTTCTTTAGGGAAGTTTGGGAAACAATGAACTAAACTACTGCTTGCCACAAATACCAGGTTTGGGGATCACAGGGAGGTGAGCATCAATTCAGACTAGCAGGGCTGCCAGAGCTCACAGTCACTCCCTTTTCCAAGAGACTCTCAGGCTTTCAAAACAGGTTCCACCAGCCCCCCTCAGGTTGTAAGTAAAAAGAGCCCAGTTCAGACTATGGCAGATTCCTGAGGGCCAGGGTTCACTAATGTATACCTAACCAAATTTATCATAAAAAGCTTTCATAGGACCCACTGAGATAAAACCAAGGTTTCTACATGTAGAGTTATACAGAAAACTTTGTTTTCACTAAAACCAAAGTCAGGACCTAAGGCAAAACATAAAAGAGTTCTGGAAGGAAGTGCTTCATAGGGAGGTACAGTTGATCAAGTGACCTAACCTACCTTCTGCCTCTTTCCTATCTTTTTATATTTCCAGTGCCTGGGCACAACGCCTCAAATGCATGATTAGGTGATATCTTGATTTGAATGCACTAGATTCCTGCTGGACCAGTGCCACCAAGAGATTATCTCCTCTGAGTCTTTTCTGGTTGGAATATGGTGGGTTCTCAATTAAAAGACAGACTTTGTTATTCCCACGTAACCTTGCCACTCAAAGTCAGCATCAGCATTACCTGAGAGCTGGTTATAAATGCAAAATCTCAGGCTCCATCCAGAGCCACTGAATCAGAACCAACATTTTAACAAGCTTTCCTGGTAATTCATATGTGCATTAAAGTTTGAGAAATACTGCCCAGTAGGGTTTGAAAACATCATTTATACTGGCCGTCAACCATTATTCTGCCCCAAGCAACCTGAGAGATCTGAAACACTCCTATAGGAAGAAGTTAGAGATGCCTGTAACTTTATAGCTGGGGAGAAGAATGATGAAATGATATCCTGCTCTCTGGGGGAATTCATCTCTTTTCCTTACTTTCTCCCAAATCACATTACTCAGAAACCCAAAGTGGGGCACCCATCTGTGGAACACCTTTAGGTTACACTAACATCTAGATTCCCTGACACCTTAAAAATCTATGATAGGGATTCTGGGTAAAATTAAATGAGATAATTCAAGTAAAATTCTTAGCTCAATATCTGAATATGAGAAATATTCAATAAATGGTAACTGCTTTATTATGTTATTCCTAAGTATTAGCTATGAAAGATTCAATTCTGAGCAGATCAGGATTAGGAGACTGAATTGGTGATACCACATGTGGCTCTTTAAATTTAATTAAAATTAAAAATTCAGTCCCTCAGTCACATCGGCCACATTTCAAGTGCTCAATTGTCAGGTGTGGCTGGAAGCTACCATAACAGCACAGATATAAAACATTTTCATTATCACAGAAACGAGTATCTATTGAACAATTTTGGTCTAGAGAGCCTCTGAAATATCAAATGGCCCCCATGGAATTTGTTCTGCTTGGGCTGCAGGTTGAGAAGAAGGGCTTTCATAGCAGCAAAGATTTATGTAATCTTTGCTAACAGTAGGTGAGGAGGGGAGAGTTGATGATCGCCACCCTCAGAAATGAAACCCCCTCCTAATAAGGATTTCCAGTAACTTTATGTAAGGGGCTCAGAAAAACAGAGAAAAGAGGCCCCAGACATAAAGACTTTCTAGTCTTTATTCTTTCTGTTATCTCCTATCCTCTGGTAGTGATCAGTGGTCAGCCTTCAGAAGGAGAAGGATCTCTGAGCTCGACTTTAGTTACAGCAAATAAATGATGGGGAGAGGGAGTAATGGCCAGCAGCTACTGAAGGGGGAATGCAGGTTGAGGCCTAGAGTCCCCCAGTAATGACAGAAAGGAAAGCTCAGGGGGTCAGCTGGGCCTGAGAAGGGACCAACTTGCAGGACAAGAGAGAGGTCCATGTGGAGCTTGCAGATCCTGCCTCAGCATTTGCTCGCACCAGTTCCCTGCCTAAAATGCCTGACATTCTCTCTCTCTATTAACTCATGTGATAAATTTTTACTGAATGCCTATAAGTGCCAGATGCTGTGAACACAAAGTAAGTCACAGCTAGAGGTATATATATACAGTCATTAAAATGGTCTGGTCTTTGACTAGATCTCCATTTGGAGAAAAGGGCAGAATTCAAAAAAATAAATTCTAGATAATTTTGTAAGCATACAAATAAAACTAAAGAAATACTAGGAAAAAAAAAAGACATTAGGATCTGAGGTAGTAAGGCCCTTCTTAAACAAAACACAAAAGCCATAAAGGAAAGACTTATCATTTTGACCTCATCAAAATTTAAAACTTCTATTTAACAAAGAATATAACCAAAGTCAAGATAAGCAATACACTGTTAATTTTTTCTTAAAATATATTCTTGAGAAAGTAGTCACAACATATAAAAAAAAGAACTAAGACTCAGGATATATAACTATTCAAATCATTAAGAAAAAGGTAAAATAAACTATATGCTACAAATATGGAATATGTCAGTTTCTTTTTCTTTTTTTTTTAAATATGAAGTAATTTTACTTGAATGGAGGAGGAAAAGTCTTCAAGACATAATGCCGAATGGAAAAACAATGATGAACAATATAGTTTGATGCCGCTTAGGAAAAACAAAACCTCCCAAAATTAGATAGGCAAAGAAAAGGCCCTGATAGATATATATCAAACTGATAAAGAAGTTACCTCTGGGAAGGCTAGTGAGATTGGGGCTGGGGTGTTGTCAATGGGAGGACTTTCACTTTAACTGTTTCGTGTGAAAATTTTTATGAGATTGTTACTTTCATGATTAAAAATAACCAACCAAATAGAATATATGAAACTTGATTGGATCACTTTTAATGAAATTTATTAGGGCGATGTTTGTTTCAAGTGTTGGATGGATCGCTCTTTTTTACAGCTATAAAAGTTACTTTGTGGACAACTGGGGAGTCTGAACATGCATATTAGATATTATTGTGGTTATGTAGGATGTTCTTGTTTTTAGAAGTTGCTTGCTGAAGTATTTATGGGTAAAGTGTCAAGAAGTCTTCAACTTTAAAATGGAAAAGAAATAAAGGAAGGGAAAGAAGGGAAAGTAAAGAAGGAAAGCAGGAAGGTAGGAAGGAAAGTAGGAGACGGGAGAAGAGGGAATGGGAATTTGAGGGGATGGAAGAGGGAAAGGAAAAAATGATAAAACAAGAATGTTAATTATTAGTGAATCTAGGTGAAAGGTATTCAATGCACTATTCTTACAACTTCCTGCAGGTTTCAAAATAAGAAAGAAAGGAAGAGGAGAGGTGGGAGAGAAAGAAAGAGAAGGAAAGGGAGGGAAGGAAAGGGGAGAGAGAGATAGAAAAGAAAAGGAAGGAATGAAGGAAGAAAAGAAGAAAAAGAAGGATGGAAAGGAAAGAAGACACCACCATTCTAGCTGGAAGTGACCGGTTTCCCCCTTGAGTTCTTATGACACTTGGCGATGTCACTCATATTACTAGTGATCACCTCTGAGAATGTGTCTTATTCCCCATAAGCTCCTGAAAGGCAGAGGCATCATTTGATTCTTTGCTCTACTCTGCATGCCTAGCACAATGTCCAAGACAGAGCAGCAGTGGCAAGGATGGGTATGAGCTGAGGCTGAGAAATGTGTCATGTTCACCTATGAGGCTGGCAAATACAAAGTCAGGGCCTGGAATTGCATCATCAGTTCTGATGAGAAGCATAAAAGATGTGTCTCCTGGCTGCCCAGGATGGTCCCAGCAGGGAGTCTCCCCAGAGCTGGAGCTAGGTCTTTCAGGTAGGACTACTGAATGAAACTCTAGTCCGAGAAAGCTGTCAGAAACTGCCTGATGGTTTTCAAGTTGACACTTTGTAAACTACAAAGTGGTAGAAAAGTAAAATGCCCTAACAACCCTTTCTCTTTGATCCTTACAATGATCCTAGGAGATAGGTATTATCTCCATTTGACAGGTGAAGAAACAGACTCAGAGAAGGGAAGTGCCTTCTGCAAGGTCACACGGAGAGGAAATGAGCTCAACCCCATGTCTTCAAGTCTAAGGTTCTCTCCACTAGATCATGCTACCTTCTCTGGGGCGACTCCTAACCAGGAAGAGAAAGATACACTTACCTGATTCAGTCTTGTTTGGGTCTACATCTCCCCACACTGTGAGATTACCACAGGCAGCTTGGGCTTATTGTTGGGGCCTGTAGGAACATTCTAGGAAGAAAGCACAGGAAAGATTCACCCACTCAGACACATAGACACACACACCAAACATTTACTGACGTCTGCCAACCCCTGTGCTACGGGCCGTAGGAGAGAGGTAAAGCATATAATACAGATAAAAAATAAAGTGTACATTTAGAAAATATCAAACCTATGCTATGTAACAATATGTTGTAAGAAAGTATATACAGGGCAGAGGAAGCAACTAAACTTTGCTTAAAGAGGTCAGGGAAAGATTCACAGAACAGGGGATTATTTGAGCTGGGCCTAAAAGAATGAATGGGATCTCACCAAGAGGAAAAGAAAGGAAAAGAGCATTCCAGGTAGAGAAAACAACATGAACAAAGGCTTAGGAGCAAGAAGCGGCAAGAGGCAGGGACATGTATGGCACATTTAAAGAAAAGCCAGTAGCCTGATGTGACTGGAACATGGAGGAGACAGTGGCAGAAGGAGCCATGGAGAAGCGGGCAGGATCTTGAATGCAATGCTGAGTAGGATTTTATCAAGTCGGTGAAGGGGCCACCAAAGGCCAAAGCTCAGTGTGTGCTACAGAGAGGCTAACTACAGGCCAGGAAAACTTGGGAGGCCTGTGGTCTCACCTTCATTTTCTTTAGGAAGGCCATTTAATAAAGGTCTAATAAACTAGAGCCTGCTAGGGTTAGAGTTAGGGTTCTCTGTTGACACTAGTCAGGTAGTACCAGACCAGAATGGCTGAGAAAGAGGAAATCAAAACAGGACTTACCTCAATCTTTCTCATCACTAGAAGTCCATCAATGATTTTTCCTGTAGGAAGAGTATGAGCCGAACTTTAGTATTCTTACTTGCATAGCATTTTCCAGATTCCAATGTCCATTCTCACCATTATCTCATTTGTTCCTCATACCAACTTCAAGAAATGAAGATTCGGTGGAGGTGAAATGACCTGCCCAAGGTCACAGGTAGGAAGTAGTAGTTAAGACTCAAACCTAGGTCTGACTGTCTGTGAAGCCGCATTGCACTGTGCTGCCTCTGTGTGGCATTACCTCTATACCACCATCTGGGTTTGTCCCCCAGACATATGTATTGCCCAAGTAGTTACTCATTTTATCAGCTGACCCCTTTGTCCTCCCACACATCCTCTCCACATTCCACCACTTCCACCTTCCCTACTACTATCCAGAGCAGTCAAACCAGACGAGCACTCTTGGTACGAGAGTATGGGGACTAGCTCCTTTGGAAGTCCCACTCTGAGTGAATGGGGCCTGACCATGGGACAGGAGTAGGACTCACCAAACACTACGTGCTTCCCATCCAGCCAATCACACTTAGAGCAGGTGATGAAGAACTGGCAGCCATTTGTACTGGGACCACTGTTTGCCTGATGGAAACCAAGTATACTTGCAATGAGTTTTCCTGGCCATACCAGCTGAAGGGAAAGATTCCCAAGAGAGTCTATAGTTCTGATTCCTCCACACTTTCTTTCAGCAAACCTTACTGAGCATCTATTCCGAGCCAGGGCTTGAGCTAGGACCCAATGATACAGAGATGAACAGGACACACAATTTCTGCCCTCAAGGAACTAATCCTTGAATAAATGTACATTTCTTCTACAGGGTAAATTTTTATAATGGAAACAACTGTTTATGGGACCCAATTTGATGCGTTTAGTCCAATACTAGTTCTAACTAAATTATAGTTACAAGTTAGCTACTAGATAAGAAAAGGTCAGTTGCCTAGGCCGTAACCTGTTTTGTCTGAATGTACTATATCATAACAATGGCAATTTAAAAAATTTAAGACGGTGCAAATAGCTAGTGCTACGGAGATTGCCTGGGCCAGTCAGAATAGGCCTATGGTTTGGAATGAAGGATAGGCCTCCCAGGAGTCCAATTCACTTCTCTCTGTCTGTCTGTCTCTCTCTCTTTCTTTTCTGTCTGTCTGTCTGTCTGCCTGCCTGCCTGTCTGCCTAGTCTATCTACTTTGCCGCTCAATGTCTAAACATTTATTAGCAAGCAAGCAGGAAATAGTCATATAACATGTTTTTATAACTCCAGAGACACAGAGGGAAATGGGTGATGAAGGGAAGGAGAAGGTGAGAGAAGCAAGGCGGGAGGGGTAAGGGAAAATGAGGAGGGGTATATATAAGGGGAAGTGAAGGGGCAGTGAGCATAAAAGATAGTGAGCAAGGGTGGGGTAGATGAGGAGGTTTAGGTCACGTAGGCAGGGGCCTGTGAAAGAGTGAGATGTGTGTCAGGGGGATTATAAATGGGGAGAAGGTGCTGGGACAATGGAGTAGAAGTGGTGAGCAAGGCGTGGTGAGTGCGCAAAAGGGGGTGACCAGCCAGTATGCAATGTGAGTGAATGGATGTTGAAAGTTCTGGTGAGTGGAGCAATGAGCGAGTGAACAGTGGGTCTTGAAAGAACAACTGGTTGCATTCTGAGCAACAAGGCTAAATGCCCGGTCCCATGTCCTGGCTGAAACAAAGGGAGGGAAACACACACCAGAGTTGAATTTTGGTTCTCCAGGCTGCTAGTGGGCCCAGCCCAACAAAATCAGACTGAGGAAGAAGATGGGTATAGCAGAGTTGAGTCCTGGGCTGAGCCAAAAAAAAGCATTTGCTTCCATCCTAAGAGACAACATTGAGCCTCAAGAAGGGCCCAGAAACCAGCTGGCTATAAATCTAACCCAAAACCCTGATTGGACCTCACTTACCATGGAAAGCAGGCCTGGAGCTGAGTGTCTAAGTTTAAAATTTTCATCTGCAAATGGCCCCCGGTAAATACTGGCGACTCCTGTACCATCTCCCTGAGCAAAGAGAAGGGAAGTGTTGGCAACTTGCGAGTGCTGGGCCCCCCAGAGGCTGGTAGAAGAGTGCTCTTACCTAAAGCCTAGCTTCTTTATTTAAAGTCCACTCTTGTTGGTCACTTTGGGAGCTGCATCTCTTTGACCCGACTCTGCAATCAAAGCCCCATCCAAGGCACCTGCAGCCCACAAACTGGCCAGGTTTTCTCACAGATTGGGTAAAATATCTTAATGTCTAAACATTTATTAGCAAGCAAGCAAGCTGGGCCTTTAGGAACCTAGGTTAAGACCCAGGTAAAGTACAGAATAGTTCAGTGATTAATACATAATCCTTGCTGTTCCAGCAGACTCTCATGCCTGCATACACATAAAATCACCCAAGTAACTACTACCCCAACTCACCCCCAAACTATGTGGGTGGGTGGGCTCTTGGAAGTCTAGTCTGTACAACATGATACCACCCTCCTGGCCAAAGTTGATTGGTCCAGAAGAGAACACCTAACTCATGCAGGGCCAACCAGAGTTCCTTCTGTGGGAATCATGGAATAGGATAGATGCTCTCTTTGAGGTTGAACTTGTATCGTGTAAACCTGGAAGCTAGAAGTGACTATCTCCTGCAAGGTGGGCTGGAGAGAGCGCTAGAGAACCAGAGAGAAAGTATGCCTTGATTCTATGTGGCTTTCCAGTTCCTAGTTTTTGTTTCTCCTTTGGGTTCTGTGAATCCTAACTCCCCAATGTCTGTTTAAACTAGCTGTATTCACATTCTCTCTCTGCTCTTTCAATAAACCTGTGGAATACACATCATCTTCCTCATTTTTCTTTCAGGTGAGCAATCTTAAGTCAAGGTAATAAAACAACTTGACCAAGACCATATTTGCAGCTTCTTAAATAGAATCTGGGGATTTAAAGTAACACTGAGAGGGTGCCAAAAGACTAGTCTTTTCAAGCCAGTTAGTAAAGAAAAATAATATTGGATTTGTGGTAGAAAGGGGATTAACATGAGGGAAGAAAGGAAAATTGTCAAATTCAAACCTTTGACTAAAAATTATCAATAAAGCCGACCTCTGTATAGTGGAAAGACCTGAATTTGAGTTCGACTTATCATTTATGATCTGAGGAACTCATTCTCTATCTCTGACCTGTTTCCTCAACTATCAAGTGGGGATAAAAGCACCTACTCTTTACAGCATTGCCATGAAGATCCAGTTAGTCTCTCTGAGAAAAGACTTTGCAACTGATATAGCACTATACAAATATGAGCTATTCTAACTGTATGTATGTATCTATGTAACATAAATTCATACGTATATACAGGAGGAAGAGAAAACAAGTTCATTTCTAATTTCCCAATAAACTTAGGGGACAGGTCAGTTACCACATCATTCTCTATAATCATACTATCTATTGCTCTCCAGAAGCCAGAGAAGGGAAAATGACAAATTTTCAGAGCAAACAACAAAAGGAACGTAAATCTTCAATAGTGGATTGCTCAAACAAATTCACTGTATATTCATAATGGACTATTAGGCAGCTGTTAGAAAAAATGTTTTGGAAGAAGATAATGACAGGAGAAAATGTAGACAATTGTTAAGTACAAAAAAACAAACATAAATATGATCTTAAGTCTGTTAAAAATTATATTTGACACACATACTCATGCAAAGATAAGGCTGGCGGCTGTAAACTAAAATGCCAAGAGTTTATTTCTTGAAAGGAGAGAATCCTTGAGAGATGACTTATTTTCTTTTCTACACTTTTCTTTTGCAACCAGAAAAAAACAAATAAAATTTTAAAACGAACGAATATTCTTGGTCCAACTTTAGTAGGTCTCAAATCCTGCTTCTTCTGCCTCTTGCTCATTCTATTTTTTCTTCTCTAAGGGTGGCCCTGAGCAATTACTTCTCTTTGATACTCAACCTTTGGCTGACCAATTATTGTCTAGCCCTGGGGCTATCAGTAAGTGTGATCAGATGTACCTGGCAATGACCAGTAATAAGTTGGTTCTGTTCCTGCTAAGACAATACAACAATACAGGACCTATGAGAAGAAAGGAAAGAAGGCAGAGAACAGCTTCTCAGCCCTTCATATCAGCTAACAAAAAAAGTATATGGTCACCCCAAGCCCTATCACCATCAATAGTGGCTATGGTTAGCAAACAAATGCCTATGAGGGCAGGTATCACAAATGAGGGAAGCAGGTAGTGGGGACTGTGGTGAAATGGCAAGGACACATTCTGCCTGAATGGAGCAGTTACTTGATTCCAACCAATTGTCACTGCATGAGAAACACAGGCCTAGTTTTCCATTCTTTTTTTTAAAAATTTATTATTATTTATGCCTACAGTACCTGGTCTTCCTAGGTGGTCTCCCATCAAGTACTAAACAGGCCCGACTCTGCTTAGCTTCTGAGATCAGACATCGGGGTTGTTCCAGGTGGCATGGTCGTAGACCATGGACCATGTCTCCACTGGGGTGTGAACCCAGGACCTTCTGCGTGTAAAGCAGACGTGCCTACCACTACACTATGGAACCACGTCCTAGTTTTCCATTCTTTAGAGAGGAAACAAAACTCCAGAATTTTTTGGTGAAATTTCCCAGTTTTACATCATACAGATGAAACCAAACATATCTGAAAGCCTGATCTGGCTTAAGATCACAACCTTACCTAGATAGGAAAGAGAAAGATAAAAAGCTCATAAGAGTCAAACTAAGTAAGTACACACGTGAAGAAGAAAATGTCTCCTAGATTCGAGAAAACAGCAACATGGCTACCCAAATGATACTAATAAGAAAGACCATGCACAGAAGTGGGTAAGAACAAAAGTAGATTTAAGAAAAAAATGTGGTTTATTCAGCTCCCTCTAAGGTCAGGAGAGGGGAGAAGACTTAATATGGGGGACACATATTAAGTCTAGTCACAAGAAAATCATGCTTAGTAATGAAGGAACTATTTCACTGGGCTCTCCCCATGAATAGAGGAAACATCCTTCCAGAATTATTTACCTCTCTTGCCCCCTAATCAACTTCCAATGAAAAACTCAGCTTTCCAGGCACTGTGATACCAGAAGTGGAAGAGAAAATGGGGCATAAGCATTTAGCTCACTGGAAAGGGACTTACTACGATTTAGTTTAAACAAATTGCATTTGATTTCTAGCTAAGTTTCATGTGGTTAATTTGGGTCTGTCATGGGTCATCTACAGGCATGCTGGAAAAGTTCAGTTTCTGGCCCTAAAAGGTTGAGATTTGGAAGTTAGTGATTCAATAAAGTGCTGATGTCTGTCATCTAGTGGTACACTGAGTAGTTGCCAGCAACTCTCAAGGACATTCTCATCCTCATCCCTCCCACCCCCACCCCTAATAAACTTGGCTATTGTTCTCAAGCCTTAAGACTTGGGTCCCTGTAGTAAAAATAGTAGCAACAACAATAACAAAAACAACAAAAAAATCGTATAAGTCTTTGATAGGAAAGGAAGAGTACTTACGTTAACAAAATCTCCACCCTGAATCATGAAATCCTTTATGACCCTGAAACAGAGAACAAAGGATTCTGAGATAAGAGTCTGTAGTTTAGAAAAATATTGACTTAGTCATTATAGTTTAGATTAACATTGATTTCAAAATACCATGTTTATCACTCTAGCTTTTAATAAATCTTCAAGTCAATTTAGTCCACAAAAACATTCCTTCTCAAGATCTAAGAATTATCCTATGATTTTATTTTCCTAAAGAGATTAATCCCCCAAAGAAGTAATTCTAAAAGCCCTCAGGATGGTTTGCCATGGGCCTTACCTGTGGAAAGTGCTCCCTTTGTATCCTATTGGAACCCCATCTTTTCTATAATCAAAAAGAAAGAGACTTGGAATGATGACAGATAACCATACGCCTTTCCAATTTACCATACACGGGAGCCAAAGGCACGCTCCTAAAGATGGTCAGGACAAGGGAGATAAAGAAGGCAAATGAAGTGAAGACAGACCCTCGGGGTATTACCTTCTATTACAGTCCCCAGCAATCATTCAAGGCCTGCGGGTGGTTCCCCAAAACCCTCACTGCAGCCCCAGGTCACCCCTCAGGAGCAAGCAAAGAAGTCAACCACTGACCTGAATTCTCCAGTGCAGAATTGCCTGAAAGGGAAAAGAATGAAGGACTCAGCCACCATGACATCACAGCAGTGAGTTCCTCTAATCTCCGTGGGGGAGCGCACAGCCACTGGCGCCAGCAAGCCCACCAACCGGAGGCCAGACGTCCAGACTCCCAGGCATACAGACAAGATAAACTGACATGGGGAACAGTCAAAACGGGGACTATTCAGACAGAGCGATACCTAGGGGAATCAGATCACAAGGGCAGTGAGTGGACGGACAGGGATAGGCAGACGATTCCGCAGAATGGGGCCCAGCTTTCGGTTCGGTTAATCTGGCAGAGCATCTCCTTACCTAAAGTTCTCGGCCGTTTTAGGCACAACGTCTGCAAAGAGCTCGATCTTCATGCGGCCAACTTCCTGCAACCGGCAAGAGACGGTCGGAAGGCCCAGTCCAAGACCACGAAGGCCTCGCTGAGCGGGGACCTCAAAGAGCTAACCATTCCCTTTCCCATACCTTTCTCTCTCCCACCTCTGCCTCCGTAACCTATCCTTTCGTTCCGTCCAGACATTCCACAAGCGGGACGCTAGGATGCACACTACGAGGGGCAAGGGTGTTCATTCTCTTTCACTCACCACACCCCGCAGGTCGGTAGGTTCTGGTCCAGTTTCCCTTTCTGGCTTCCCGAGCCCGCTATCCCTGGGCGGATGAATTCTGTCTGCCTGGCCCCATGCTGTTTCCCTTCGGCGCAGGGCTGGGTCTTCCTGGACCTCACCTGGCCGCCAATGCTGACATCAAAGAACACCACGGGATTGACAGGGCTTGAATTTGCCACCGCCATGGCTCCGACCCGGAAGCAGAAGTCGCTAGCGCCTAGTTCCGATGACCCTAATCCCAGCTCCGCAGGTTTAGTCTCCCGCGCAGGCGCAGGAAGAGCCGACCGAGGCCGGGGCCCGCCCCCGGAAGCCCTACTCTGCGCTCGACTTTGGGGCTTGCTGGTTTCTGCGCCCGCACTGCGAGATGCTGCGGTGACCAGGACTTTCATCGGTCCTGACCACGAGATGTCCGCCGGCTGTTAGCTCGCTTGACTGTGCTTGGGGATGGGGGTGTAGGCCGGGGTGGGTAGGGAGACGCGGGGCTGGGGACGCGGGTGCAGGTGGAGGAGGGATGGAAGAGGAGGCATGCCTCCGCCTTTATTTGCTCAAGGTCAACAGATACCCCATTCACATGGCTACACTAAGCGAAGAACAAGATTATTCTCGCTCAGGGTAGGGAGTTTGGACTACGTAGTCTCCAGGGTCCTGATCAATCCTTGCAGCTAAGATCTGAACCATCACGCGTGCTGTTTCTTAACCCAGCGCACTAGTCTGTGAGCCCCACAAAGGCAGGAACTCTTCATCCTCGGGAGTTAGCACAGCCTGGCAAATAAGGTGTGCTTAGTAAATACTCAGCCCTTCTTTGAAGTCAGGACACTAGAATTTTAGTTTTAGCTCCAGTTCTGCCACAAGCTTCCACTTTTGTCACTACAATTATTTCTGGCAGAGTAGCTAGAGCTTTTAAAATAAATCTTATAAATCACTCCTGGCTTGCTGTATTTAGAATGAAATCCAATTTCTTACATACAAAAAAGCCTACATTACATTATCTGGCTGGCCTCATTTTGTATTACTTGCCCTCTGTTAATATATTCTGACCTTTTTGTTCCTCGAGGTCACAGATGGATACATGGTCCCCCCTTATCGGATTTTCACCTTCCTGGTTTCAGTTACTTGCTGCCAACCACAGTCCAAAAATAGTAAATGGAAAATTCCAGAAATGAGCAATTCGTAAGTTTTAAATTTCATGCCCAGGATGTGAATCATCCTTTTGTTCAGCATATCCACACTGTATATGCTACCTACCCAGTAGTCACTTAGTAGGTGTCTTGTTTATCATATTGACTATCAGGGTATTGCAATGCTTGTGTTCACACTATTTCACAAAGCATATGTCATTCACCCTACTTCATCTCATCATGTAGGCATTGCGTCATCTCATATCACAAGAAGGGTGAATACAGTACAAGATATTTTGAGATAGACCACGTTCACATAACTTTTATTACAGTATATTGTTAAAATTGTTCTATTTTATTACTATTGTTAATTTCTTACTATGCCTAGTTTATCAATTATTTATCATAGGTATGTATGTATATATAGGATTCAGTACAATCCATGGTTTCAGCCTCCACTAGGGGTCTTGGAACGTAACCTCCTCAGGTTAAGGAGGACTACTGTACTCTCTGTAGGGTCTTGGTACAGTTAATTGTCTTTAATACTCTTCTAGATCTTAATGAGGGGGAGGTGTTCTTTTTATTTCAGGTCTCAGCTCAGATGTCACTCAGATAGGAATATTGCACCCAATATAAAGTAGCCATCAGTCACACTTTCAGATACATCACTGGTTTATTTTCTTCATGCCACTCACCATCCAAAATTATACGGTCAGTCTCCCCACCTCACCCCCTGCCACATACACATATACCGTCTAACCTAAAATATATTAACTCTATGAAAACGGACTCTTGTCTGTCTTCACAGGTGTGATGATAGTGTCTACTATTGAATAGCACATAACAGGACTTTGATAAATAGATTCAATGAATCGAGTGAAAGAAGGTGAATTTGGACAAAGTTTGGAATCAGAGCATGCATTCAATATCATAGTTATTATTTCCTACACTCTTTGATCATCCTTTCTAGTTTGGTATCTGAGGCGGCAAGGGTTGCACATAAAAATTCAGTATGTCTCAACTTACGGGGCTCTTTTATTTCTGGTTACTTTCCCCCTTCCCTTTGTCTCCCTCTCTATCTCCAGCTGATGATGAAGAAGGAAGAGGAGAATGAGGGAAAAGGGGAGGAAGGGGAAAAGGAACAGCGGAAATCATCCTTCAATACAGTTTTATACCAACTATTTTAGAATAAATTCTTTAAATTGGTGATATCCAATGTTGAAGAAGTACACTCAAACTGCAAGTGAAAATAAGTGAATGTATCTAGCACTTTTGAAACAATTACTCGGTGTAAAATACACACTTCATTTCATTTGGTGAAATGAAACCCTATGGGATGGGAACTACTATCCCATCTTGGGACTTGGGGTTTGCCACTGTTTCTTCCTATTTTGTGCATCAAGAAATAGAAGCTTAAAGAGTTTGACCATGGAAACAATGTTGACACAACTGCTTTTTTTAAAGCAATGAGACAAATGATGTACCAAAACTCTATATAACATTTATATCCTTTGACCCAATTATGCCGATCTTGTGAATTTGTTTTCTGGATTAACTTAAGAGAAGAAAAGAGCTAACTTCACAAAGACTTTCGCCATAGCATAATCTTAGTGAAAAAGTAGAACAACTTAGATGTCAAGTAACAACAGAATTTATAGAACATCAATGTGATAGAGTATCATATGACTATTGAAAGAATAATTATGAAGAGTTTAAATATGGGAAAATGGTTTATGGTATATTAAAACTCAGACTATGAAAATACAATATGATAACCATTAAAATAAATAAATTGGAATGAGAACCATAGGGAATAACTCCAAAATGAAAATAGTAGTGTTCAGAATATGACATTACAGGAGGGTTTTTTTCTTCTTTTTAAAGTATTTGCTTTAATGTGATTACACTGTTTTTACTTTTAAAAAAATCCATGATAATAGGAAAGAATGCTGAATTAGCCATATATGTGTTCTGCTAAACAAAAACTCAATTAAACCAGTGAACTTAAGTTACTATATTGATCAATATAAGGCATCTGAGGATATCAAACAAACTTGAGAAATCCATTTTTAGAACTGGTTTAGTGAATTTATCAGCAATTTTGAAGACTCCTAGTTGATGTCCAGTGGGGAATGTGTTCTAACGTTTTTCCACGTCATGTCCCACCTTCACGCCCAAGCTCTAAGTTAGCAACTTTGATCAGTCTAGTTTAGACATCAGTGATTTTATAGTTCTGACTTTTGGTCTTGTTCTTGGATGCAACGTGTCTCTTTCAGAGAAGTCACATTTATGTATCCAGCTTCGGAATTCTGTGAACACGAAACAGACTCAAGGGACTTGGGATTTGCCACTGTTTCTTCTGACTTAGATTCTTGAGTTTCTTGAAGACTTCCAACTGACTCTACCAAACCTGTTCCTGAAAAACTAAGAAAGGCCATGTGTGAGGACTTTGTGTGGATAGGGTCTCTTGGCAGCACTTTGGGGTTACAAGGATAAGACTTAAATAGAATCTCAGTTTTGACAATGGTCAAACACAAAGACAACCAAACAAAAATTACCTTAAACTTATGTTTATGGATTATCTTCTACCTTAAGTCAGAATTCTTTTATGTGTGTGGGTGAAGCAGTGGTGAGGAGAGAAGGAATTGGAAAGTTTAAATACTAAATATAGAGAAAATTACCCCCACTTTCTGTACTTTCTCAAACTAGGAACTCAGGACTGGTTAGGCAGTCATAACTCTCAGGCATATAGATGATTGTCTCAACTTTACTAACCTGGAGTTTGGGAGGGGCAAGATTTTATTCAATACTTCGAATTCAGAGATTCCACTAATTATTGTTTCCTAAAAGGAAAGAAAGCATGCATTTAAAAATTTATTGATAAACCATATGATTCTAGAACTATGCTTTATATTTTTTGGTTAAAAACGTAACCCCCTCACCTCATGTCTGTTAGAAGGACTACTGTCTAAAAGACAAGAGGTAATAAATGGTAGAGAAAAGGGGACCCTTGTGCACTGTTGGTGGGAATGTAAATTAGTGCAGACACTATATAAAACAGTATGGAGGTGCCTCAGGAAATTAAAACTAGAACTACCATATGATCTAGCAATTTTGTTATCTGAAAGAAACAAAATCACTGTCCTGAAGACATATCTGCACCCCATGTTCATCACAGCATTGTTTACAATAGCCAAGACATGAAAGCAACCTAAGCATCTATTGATGGATGAATGGATAAAGAAATTGTTACACACACACACACACACACTGGAGTATTATTCAGCCATAAAACAGAAGGAAACATGTGACAACATGGATGGATCTTGAGGGCATTATGCTAAGTGAAATAACTCAGAAAAAGACAAATAACATGATCTTACTTATATGTGGAATCTAAAAAACCAAACTCACAGAAACAGAGATCAGATTTGTGGTTGCTAGAGGTGGGGGTAGAGTAGAGCAATTAGGTGTGGGTGGTCAAAAATTCAAACTTCCAGTTATAAGATAAATTCTGGAGATGTACAGCACAGTGACTACAGTGCTAATAGTGTTAATAATACAATACTGTATATTCAAAAGTTGCTAAGAGAGTAGATCTTAAAAGTTTTAATGACAAAGAAAACATTATAAATATGTGAGGTGATGAATATTAACTAATCTTATTGTGGTAATCATTTTGCAATATATACATATATCAAATCATGTTGTACACGTTAAACTTACACAATGTTATATGTCAATTATATCTCAATAAAACTAAAAAAATGATGTAACCCCTAATACCTACAAAATATTTGGCAATTATAAATGTCATACTTTTTATAATAGTGCTTTCACTGCTAGCCTGCTTTTTAGATCTGCTTTTCTACATGAATTGTCTCATATTAGGTAAGTTTTTACTTAATATTCTGGTAAACATTTTCTGCCCCTTTAAATCATAAAAAGCACCTGTTTTGAACTCTATGACTATAAACCCCAAATACTCTTTCTAAGAAAAACATAGACTAATGCAGACCAAATTTTATATGTATTTGGTTCCCCTGAATTTGGATCTCAGTTTAATCTTTGAAGAGGCTCAAGGTGATGCTATGTAAGATAGTATGGAGCAGAGAGCAGAGAGGGGAACCAATAAGGGATGAAATCAGTAAGACAGACAGAGAGGCCTGGTCATAGAGAATATGAAGACCATGTCAGAAAATTTGAGTTTCATCCTGAAGACTGTGGGAAGTCATTGCGTGGTTTTGAGTCAAATGCTCACGTTTTATTTTCTGGCTATAGACTATAAACACTGTAGGAATAGAAAAGACAAAAGCCAGAAACATGGAAGAGGGGAGGTGGGATGCATCTTTCCAAGTAAGGAAAATACATAATACAGAGGGATAGAACTTTAGAGACTTTGGAAAAACTGTGAATAGATTAGTTTCATTTGATCAGGCTTGTTTGTTGTCAGAAAGGTATTTGAAAAATGGAAATTTCCTATGTGGCTTCAGTTCTTCTGACTTAGACCGACAACCCCAGAAGCCTTCCCTAACCTCCCCTGAACAGGTTTAGATACCACCCCTCTTGCTTCCACAGCATTCTGGGCCTATTGCTGTTGTAGAACTTATCACAATGTAAGGTAGTTGCCAGTTATGTGACTGTCACTCTCACTGGGCCTGAGTTCTTTGAGGATAGACTCTGTATCTTGTTCATTATTATATCTAAACCATATGGATATATGGTTTGATATATATGAGGGCCAGCACACTACATATGCCCAATAAATATTTGTTGAATGAATGAACTTTATCTTATAGACAAAAGAAGACAGAAAATCTTTGAGATGAAATACTACGAAATCAAGTAGCACTTCATGAACATTAGTCTAGAAGCATGGGCAGGATAGATTACAAGAGGAAGAAAGACTGAAAGGAGATGAGTTAACAAGTTGTTGCCGTAACCCAGGAGCTAAGTGCTTGGGATACAAGACAGACAGAGTTCCTGCTCTCATGAAGTCTATAATCCAGTAGAGAAGAAAGAATTATAATACAGGAAGCAATGTCTATTATGAGGCTAAGTCCCTGGTTATTCCAACGCCCCTGAAAGAGAAGCAGTAGACTCGGGATATTAATAGATAGCAACTAAGAACAAAGGACCAGAAAGACTTGGTTTCAGTCCTTGCTCTTCTACTTATTAGCTATGTACTTGGACAATGATGTCACTTCACCTCTCTAGATCTCAGTCTCTTCAGCTATGAAAATAGGAATGACAGACTTATCATGAAAGATTGCTTTGTGTATTAAATGGGATAAATAAAATGCTTAGCACAGTACCATATAGTAAGCACTCCACAAATGTCAAACTCTCACTATTTTAGCCCAAGGCATTGCAAGGAAGGAACAAACCTAGGGTATGTCTAATCTCAGGGATCTATATACTGATCTATTTGCAGTATGTGATAATCAGTAAGAATCAAGAGATTTGGGAGAAGTAAGAGGCAGCTGTGTGACCTCAGATATACCATTTAACCTCTCCAGGTTTTATCTCCTTCTGTATAAAGTAAGGGAATTGAACTAGAAGATTCTTAAGATTCTAAGTTTAAAAACAAAATTTAAATTGTTTATTCCAATAGGTATCAAGATGTTATAAGTTGCTACTTTGTCACACATGGAATATTGAGCTTGATCTACTATAGTCTTGACCCATGTGACATTTCTTATCCTGATTTGAGGATAATTTTGTGGATCTTTTTTAAAAAATTAAATTTATTGGAGTAAATTATATAAATTTCATGTGTATAGCATTGTAATACTACATCTATATACTCAATTGTGTACTCACCATGCGAAGTCTTGTTTCCTTCTATTACACTATATCTGACCCTGTTTACCCTCTGTGTCCTCCAACCCACCCCATGCCCCCTATGGTAACCGCCATTCTGTTCTCTGTAACTACTGGCTTATTTTTTGTTTGTTTTGTTTATTCCTTTGTAATGTTGTGGATCTTAAAGCTATTGGTCCTTGTATATATTCTATTAAGGTTTTTAACTCAGAACTTACAATACTATATTTATAAATGTATGTCTGTCTTTCTCTACTAGACTGAGAGCCTGTGAAAACAGGATCTGTCTTCATATTCTTAGGATGTAAAATTGTTCCTGGAATTGATAAATGTTTGTTGAATGAATAAGTAAAAAAGTAAATGACAAGACAATTGAGAACTGTTGTAACTCAATCGAAGACAAAAACTACTGAAAATTAAGCCATGTAATCTAGCAGTTATGCTTTTGACAAATTCTGTAAAACTTCGTACATGGCTTGGAAATAATCACCTTTCTGAAAGCAAACAAGATACAGGTCTTATGCTCATAGCAATAGTACCCAACAAACAGGTTCTATGTGAAGTATCTTGGAAAGAAACATCTAGCATGTGGTACAAGCCAGGGAAGAAGGCAAGCAGCCTCTGTCCTGGATTTAAAACACAACTCTGCTCACTGAAGTCCCTCTTTGCTCACTCGCTTACCAACTAGACTCCGGACCTTGTCTGAACCTATACTATTATATTACCACATTTCTCTGGACTTCGCTACTAGTCTAATTGGATTTTGTAGCATAATTGCTTTTCTCTGACTCAGATGTTGTCTCTAGGCTTGACTTCTTGCTAGACCAGCCTAACTTCACTTTACCTCTTTGAACCTCAGATTTGCTCATCTCTCAGATGGGGCTGAAACAAGACATGGCAAACAGGGTTGTTGAGAATGAGGCATACATATGAAAACATTTAACATTCATTCAGTCTCAAACATTAATGGAGCACCTCTCTATAGATATAATGACATACAAGATACAGTTCTTGCCCTCCAAGATCTCACCGCTGAGTTGATAAGATAGAGACATGAAAGGCAAATTGCTTTGGGGTCACATAGCAGAGAGTGTTTAATAAAAGGTGACCCAATAAAGAGCAAAGCTGGCCAAGAGCAGACTCAAGGTCTGCAGCCCTAGTGTGAAGTCAATGAGCCTCCTTGCCACAGTCCACCATGAGGCCAAGTGCAACCTACAGCTATATGAAGATGATGAAGGGAAGTGTGAATACAGCAACTTTAGCAACCTAAACTTCACATTAAAATTCTGACAGGGAGCACACATCTTACCTCTCCTCTGCGAATCTGGATGTTATTTATAATGCGCTTTAAGACACCAACCTGCTGTGTGAGCCGGAGACTGTTTTCTTGTAATCGCTTATTTTCCTTATCCAGGAAAAACACTCTAAGGATGGAATAAACCAGAGGCATAACTAGAAATTTCTTCATCGTTACTAAAAACTCAAAACTATGTCCCACTTCCCACGAGCTCTGGGTCTTAGCCCTTGTCCAGATTTTAGAACTAACTTTGGCAGATCAATTTGCGTGATATTTGAAGACCAAGTAAAAATTAATAAGCTTCTGGCCTGTACACAGTCATTAAATACATACTGAGAGCAGAGACATACTATGCACAAAACTATGAAAGGCACTAGTTCTAGCCCTTGAGACACTTATGGAAGGATATGATCCTATTTAGGAATGGGACTGTGAAAAGACACTCTGCATCCCTTCAAATACTACAGCTACATAGCCTGCATCTGGTTCTGATCTCTTAGGTCATCCTATACTTTAGTAGTTGCAGCAGCAACGGCAGCAATCATTTACTGAGTACTCACCATGTACTTAGGCACTGTAACCTATCCGCATGGTAAACACCTCAAACTATTAGCTCATTTAATCCTCACAACAACCCCATGAAATAGATATTGCTATGAAGCCTATTTTACAGGTAAGGGAACTAAAGCTCAGAGAGTGGAAAGTAAGAAGATAAAACCAGAAAGTTGTAGAGCTGGGATGCCAACTCAGATCTTTCAGACTTCTAAGCCTTAGGTCCTAACCACTATACCAGGCCCACTCTCCAAGTCCATGGTTTATATGGGACACGTGACAGTATGATAGATTCGGTCAGAGATTTATGTTTGGGTTCTGGTTCTGCCACTTACTAGCTGTGTGATCCTTGTCAGATTACTAAATCTGAACCTTAGTTCTTCATCTGTAAAATGAGGAAACATCCTGTAGAAGAAACTTACTCTAAAGAAAATGTCCAAGTCTAATCCAGGTGACCAGAGTATGACTTCAGGAGGGCAAGATGGGGACATTTTGAAGGTTAAGGCAAGGGAAATGAGTCAATCGTGTTGGGATGTCAGAAGCAGTGACATAGTTTGAGAAGGGCAATGGATTACATAGAATATATAAAAGGGTTGCCACATAGTAAAAGATAATAGACTCTCCAGGCCTGCTTGAGGGAGCGTGTACCCAAAGCAGTGGAAAGGAGAGTTCAAGTCTACACTGCTGTGGGGTCTGGGGCCTGGCTGCTGAGGTTCGCTGCTGCTCTGCCACTGACTAGGCTGCCTGAGTTCCCTAACCAATCTGGACCTTTGCTTCACACCCATAAAATAAGGCTGTAATAGTATCTCCTCCCTGGGATTGGTGTGAAGATTAAATATATATATATATTTAATTATATTAATTGTATTAATTATATAATTAATTATATATGTAAAGAGAGCTTAGAACAGTGCCTAGTATACAGTAAATGCTCAAAAATAATGTAAATCATAATAGGTATTATTGATGATACTATCTGTTAAGATCAACCCACTCTCTTTGCTCTAATTCTGTGTTCCAAGAAAACTTTTGATTGTAATTAAATTTCTTATAGAGGAGAGAATGCTTGGACTGGCTGATATGTTAATTTTTTTTTTGCTCAGTATATTTCTCATTACAAATGAATACATTGGTATCCTGTGGGTTTGTTAATTTAACTCACTAGTATGATCCTGATTCTCTTGGTCTATCTTGGTTCCACATGTATCAGAGGATAAAAACAAGTTTTAACACACACAAAGTGATAGGCCAGAATGAGCACAGCCGGGTCCTCAAGGAGACAATGCCGCTGTGAAAGAGCCTACTTGGATGGCCAGCCTGCCTTCTCCATAATTTTTTTCTCTTTAATTTCATAACTCCTGCCACTTGTATGAACTACTGAAAACAGCAGATGGCAGAGCAAGAGTTTTAAGACAGGCTGCAAACTCGAAGGATAGTTTCTTGAACCATCTTTTTGTTGAAGAAGAAACTTCCTTATTTGGAGTTCACTGGCAATTCTGGCAGGATCACACCTACCTGTGCTGGACTGAAGATATCATGCATTTGTTGTCATGGATTAATTCTTCTTGCTCTGTGACCTGCTCCAGAAGTTTCCTTTTTTCTTGGAGCAGGATATCATTTTGGGTAATGACCTGGTCCTGCAGTGCCTTCTCCTAGGATAAAAATAATTTAAAAAGCCCCCTATTTACCACAGCAGGAGAAATGATAAATTTTAAGAGCATCAGCGTGTTTAAAACTCTGATAACAAATTTTCCTTATTTACTTTTTCTCTCCTGTCTTCTAGGTTGTTTTCACCTGTTTGCTGAAATTGTCAGCTAGACTGTTCTATATATTTTGGTTATTTATGTCATGTATTTTGTTTGGATATTTATTCATTCTTTAGGGTTAACATTTAAACATACCTGAGTGCTCAACTTCTAATAAGATCCCAATGATCCCATCTGTATTCTAACTCCACAAGTCTTAACTCACTACCAAATACAGCTGAATTCTCTGAAGCTCCAGACTGAAAAAATTTTGCATATAATATGTTACCATCTGCTTTGTAGTTATATAGTCATTTTTAAGGCAAAGAAAGGAAGATGGGGAATTCAGCCACCTCACTTGGCAACTGGTGTCAGGATCTCAGTTGGCTTAGCAAGTCAAGCATGTCAGACAGATACTGAGAACATTCTTGTATTGATGATAATAAAATGGTTTCTAGCTGGACACCATGTTTCATTTTCTACCAATGATTTCCTCTGAAAGCGATAGCTAGAGAAGTTATAACTAAAATGATGGAGTGTATTTTGTGAAAAAACACTAATATTCTTATATTGACTCAGTAGATATTAGTAAATATCATGGTTGTTGAGGAGTTTAGAAGCCCAAAAGCGTAGAGCAGGCAAGTGCTTTCCCCTCTTTGTATTTGTTCCTCACCTGCCAATGGTGGGAGTAAGTAGGGGTGGGAGAAGGGTAACGACTTCTGGCAGAGGGGCGAATCAAAGATTAAGAGGGACGACTTCCTTCCTTCCTTCCTTCCTTCCTTCCTTCCTTCCTTCCTTCCTTCCTTCCTTCCTTCCTTCCTTATAGACCACAAAAGGAACAGTTATTACAGTATGAGAGCTGAAACGAGAAGACCTTATTGGGCCTCAGCCCATCAGGAGACTCAAATTTTTAACTGCTCTACACGTGACTGCAAATGACTGTGAACATATTGCAAGTATTGATTTGGGGGGATTACAAATAAATTTTAGCAAGCAGGGAAATTTGCAAACAATGAATCCATGAGTGAATAATTAGGATTTATTGTATGTATAAATTATTCTTATCCCTCCCTCCCTCTCTCCCTCTCTTTCTCCCTCCCTCCCTCCTTCCTTCCTTCCTTTAAAGTAATATACTAATATAGAGCATTCAGAAAAGATTTTCCATATACGTGGAATCTTAAAACAACAACAACAAAAAAACCAGACTCATAGATACAAAGAACAGATTGGTGGTTGCCAGAGGCAAGGGGTGGGGGATGGGCAAAGTAGGTCAAAGGTACATAGGTTCAGTTATAAAATAAAGAAGTCATGGGGATGTAACATACAGTATGGTAACTACAGTTAATACTATATTTTATATTTGAAAGTTGTTAAGAGAGAAGATCTTAAAAGTTCTCATCAAGAGAAAAAAATTTGTAATAATGTATGGTGTTGGATGTTAACTAGACTTATTGTGGGGACCATTTTGCAATATATACAAATATAGAATCGTTATATTGTACACCTGCAATTAATATAATGTTATACGTCAGTTATATCTCAAAAAAAGAAAAGATTGTCTATCAAAGAGTTATAAGGAAGATTACGTTATGTTATGAAACAAACCATTCCAGATTTTAAAGTTATTCATCTAGGACCCTTCAACATTAAATGGAAGTCTCCTATTTATGGTAAGGATTGAGGCGAGAAAAAGCAATCCCACAAAAAATACTCTACGCAGTTGTAATTGGGTTAGAAAGGAGACTGAATGGGACAACCTACTGACACCCTGTCTTTTGGAAACATATTTCTTTGAACCAAAAAATCAGGACACCTGCTCTAATAATAGGATAATATACTTGGGGAAATCTGGTTTGGAAGGTCACACCTAACAACAGTCAGAGGACTCAACTGGTTCACTATATATAGAGAAGGCTGAAGAATGAAGCCAAAAAAAGTGGCATTATTTTCTGGACACTTGGTGCTTAGAAAGTGAGCCCAGCCATTTTATGCTCAGGGCTTTGATCTATTGGACCTAAAATAAGTAACATCTGGACCACCAGGTTTGTAATACTGTGGCATTAAAAGATATTATGTGGATGGGTCTTCTCTAGGCTAAGTATTTCCAATTCTTGTAACAATTTCTCTTGTGCTGTACCCACCAATTAACATGCTTCTAAGAAATTTTACATTAAAAAGAAGTAACAGCTACGAAAATTTATATGTGCCATGTATCACTTTAGGCATTTCATGTTTTAATCCTCACAAAAGCTTGGTGAGGTAGGGATTTATTTCCTTTATTTCATGGATGAGAAAAACGATACACAGGGATCTATGCAAGGTCACAGAACTATTAAGTGGCAGGGCTAGACTTTGCATCCAAGTCTATCTAAGACCAAAGCCCACAGCACACTTGGAGAAAAAGGTCCAATTACTCTTTCTTAGCCTCGGCTTATTTGCTATCACCAGTATCTTTAATGGAGATCTGTGGTCCTTTGGGCAGATGTATTCACTGTGTAGGGCTTCCATAGGGAATTATCACAATTCAGTAGGATTAAAACAACGGGAATCTATTTTCTCACAGTTCTGAAGGCTAGAAATCTAAAATCAGAATTTTGGCAGGGTTGTTCATTCTGGAGGGAGAATCTGTTCTATGCCTGTCTCCTAGCTGGTGGCTGCTAGCAGTCCTTGGTGTTCCTTGGCTTGTACCTTCATCACTCCAGTCTCTGCCACCACCATCACATGACCTTCTTCCCTTGTGTATGTCTCTGTGTGTGTGTCTTCTCCTCTTCTTATAAGGACACTAGTCATATTGAATTTGGGGTTCACTAAATTATATGTAGTCTAGGGACTCTTTCTTTTTTCTTTCAAAAAGATTTTTTTAAAATATAGCTTACATACAATATTGTATTAGTTTCAGGTGTACACCATAGTTATTCAACATTTATGTACCTAAAGAAATGATCACTGTAAGTCTAGTAACCATCTGACACCATATAATGTTATTATAATGTTATTGACTACATTCTCTATGCTGTACATTACATCCACATGACTCATTTATTTTATAACTGAAAATTTGAACCTCTTATTCTCTTCACCTTCCCCCGACTTTTAAAAAATTTTTTCAGTTACAGTTGATATTCAATATTATTTTATATTAGTTTCAGGTGCACAGCATAGTGGTTAGACATTTATGTAATTTATGAAGTGATCCCCCTGACTAGTCTAGTACTCACCTGGCACTACATTTTGTAGCCTCAGGCAGCGGTCTCTAACCTTTTTGGCATCAGGGACCGATGCTCCTATGAGAATCTAATGCCTGATGATTTGAGGTGGAGCTGAAGCAGTGACGTGAGCACTGGGGAGCGGCTGCAAGTACAGATGAAGCTCGCTTGCTCACCCACTGCTCACCTCCTGCTGTGTGGCCCAGTTCCTAACAGGCCACAGACTGGTATCGGTCTGTGGCCTGGAGGTTGGGGACCCCTGGTCTAGGGATTCTTAATCTGGAGTCCCATACTAGCCCATGGAATAACTGAAATTACATAAATTGTTTTGGTATCCATGGCACAGAGTGAAAGTACAATAAAAATTTGTTGGGTGTAGAAATGAGCACTTTAGGAGTGAGGACAGTTTTTTCAAAATTCTGAGTTAGGCTAGGAATCTCAAGAAGGGAAAACATTACCGGCCAAGTCAGTTGCTCTCCATTTTGAATTTATGTAGTTTAATGATCTTGAGAACATTCTGCTTTGGATTCCACTCATCTGTCCCATGTCCTCCCTATTCACATACCAATAAGGCACGAGGACAATAAGACAAACATCGAGAAACCATGGATATTTAGAAATAAGCATGAAGTACTAATTGAGAATTGATAAAGGGGCAGAGATCACCTATTTTTACTGCCATTTAAAACTGACAGAAATTTGAGGTAAAATGAGGATTGTAGAACAAGGGTCCCCACTGTACCAGTCCATGGCCTGTTAGGAACAGGGCCACACAGCAGGAGGTGAGCGGTAGGAGAGCAGCGAAGCTTCATCTATGTTTGCAGCCACTCCCCAGCCCTAGCCTTACTGCCTCAGCTCCACCTCAGATCATCAGGCATTAGATTCTCATAGGAGCACTGGTCCCTGGTGCCAAAAGTTTACAGACCACTGCTATAAAAAGTAGGAATGAGTTACTGAGGGTGTTCTGGAAGTCTGCTGAAGGATGTTTAGGAAAAGATATTTTCATTTGAAGGCAAGACACTAATCATAAGCTGGCAGTGCAGAATATTTTCAGTGTCCAATTTGGTTTAGCATCACTATGAATCTTACATCCTTTTTGGCAGGGCTTAAACAATGACTCACATGGAAAGAGGTGAAAAGAAATGAAAACATGGGCCATAAAGAGGCCACAGATAATTTAATAAATGAGTGGGCTTTCTCTAAATGACCAACCACTAGCATTATCAGTAAGCTTTTCACCTTTTTTCCCCCTCACCTTTGCCACTTCTTGTTGCAGTAATCCAGCTTCATTTTCAAGTTGTTTAATTCTCTTATCTCGTAGCTCTACTTCATGAACTAAATGATCCTTGACTCTTCGAAGCTTGGCTTTGTAATGATAATGTTTCTCATTATAGTTTCTATAAAAGTAAATTTAAATACAGGTACACTTGAATGCAGTGACATTTATTTTGCCTCCTCAATATGCACCTTTCTTAGGTTCCTCCTTCCTGCTTTGTCAAGGCCTGGCACCTTGCTTGTCCTGCCTCACATCTGCAAGGGAATGGACCAGGGATAACCTCCTAGAGAATACCAGCTTTACTCTTCCCCATAGACTCAAGTCTCTGGCTTATCTTGGTCTTGAGCTGATGGCTATCGCATAGCTTTAGTAACCAAGTTTAATTTAAGAAACTCCTTGACTGATCCCCAACATCTAAATTCTGAATCTTGTTCCACTGATTCAGTAATTAATTTAAAATTTTCTAGTTTCTTGGCTATACCCTGGTCAGTGATATACCTTGTCTATTTTCCAGATAACTTGGTCTGCTCTCAGTCTTTGCCTTGAGTGAGGACTTCTAAATGCCAATTCTACAATGGTCTCTGCTCAAGACTCTTACTCTCATTCTGACATAAATCTGACTTACCACCAATAAGCACATGAAAAGATATTTAACATTATTATCTATTAAGGAAATGCAAATGAAAACTACGATGAGATGCAACTTTACATCCACTAGAATGGCTAAAATCAAAAATAAAGATAACAATAAGTGCTGACAAGGTTGTGGAGAAATTGGAACTCTCATATACTGCTGGTAGGAATGGTGCAGCCTCTTTGGAAAAAGCCTGGCAGTTCCTCAGAAGGTTATACTTAGACCCATATGACCCAGCAATTCCACTCCTAAGAATACACTCAAGAGAAATAAAAATATATGTCTACACAAAAAATTGTACATGAATGTTCATAGTAGCGCTATTTGCAATAGCCAAAAGGTAGAAACATCCCAAATTTCTATCAACTGATGAATAGATATACAAAATGTGGTATATATATACAAATGAAGTTTTGACACATGCTAAATTACAGAAAATTTGGAAAAAAGATCCAACTCTCAATATAATCAGTGTTATAATATTGTATTTCCTTCTAGTCTTTTTATAAGTATCTTTTGTTTAAAACTTGATTATATTAAAATATTTTATGCATTTGTTGATTATATCATAATTGTTTCCCTATGCTGTTATCTAGTCTTCACAGCCACCATCTTCTAGAGTTGTAATATGTTCCATCAAATAAATGTATTATACTTGACCTAACTAGCTCCTATCGCTAGATAATAAAGCTTCTGTCTGTATTGTTATAATGGCTTGAAGAATGTGTTGATGCAGTACAGCTGGTGAGGGCTTAGAGCCTTCCCTTGCCATTGCTGGCTGGATTTTTGGCACACCTATCCATCCGATCAGAAGTTCTGTTGGTCAACTTGCCCAGAGAACATGTGGACTTTCTAAGTTTATTTTTGGCTTTGTTAACTACTAGCACTATGAAGCAGCACAATACTGATGTTCTAAAATTTAGGGACAGCTTTTTTATTATGTTTAAGTAAAACCAGATGGTCTTTCTATTGTTTTTACTTCAAAGAGGCAAGGAATTTGTTCCTCTGGAAGAGTGGTTGGGAAAACATGGAAAAAATAAGCATTGTCTGTAAAGGTCAGCTCTGGGATCAGGGGAGTGAAAATGAAAATGAACCTAGAGTTTTGACTGTTTCTTCCATTTTCTTTCCTAAAGCTATAGTTTTCAATCTTGCATGCACATCAGAATCACATGGGTAAGCTTTTGGCAGAATATTGATTCTCCAAGCCCTATCTCAAAGATTCTGATTTAATTAATCTATATTGGGGTCCAGGCATGTACACCTAGTGTTAGGATACACTGTCCTAAAGGCTGTGGACAAATAACATGCAAAATATTCTGCCTCACTAGCCATCAAAGAAATTCCAAATAAAATGGCAATTAAGTAATTTAAGACTATAAGTGAAAATGAAAAATTATAGCATATTTTGAGAAAAAGAAATCCAGACACAAAAAGTTACATGCAGCATGATTCCACTTAGATGAAATTCTAGGAGAAGCAGAAATCAGGAGAGTGGATGCCTGGGAAGAAGTGAGGGGAACAGGAGATACTGCAAAAAGGTAGGAGAGAACTTTAAGGGGTAATGGAAATGTTCTGTATCTTAACTGGAGTAGTAGAAATGTGGGTGTATGCAATTTGTTGAAACTCATCGAATTGTACACTTAAAATCTGTGCATTTATCATATGTAAGTTATGCCTCAATTAAAATAAAGAATATTGGAAAAAATTTCATCAGAGCCTCCTACGCACCCATAGTAGTGCACTATGCTGATGAAGATGCGGTGAAATTACTACTACTCTTATACAATGATGGCAAAAAATTTTGGTAGGATGCTTCTGAATATTTGTCAATACATTTTAAGATCCAGAGTTCCAGCTTTCTGACCAGTAATTCCACTCCTTGGAATTTATTCTACAAAAGTAATTTTTAAAATAAAATATATATATATACACCAAATGATTTTTTTTTTGGTGTTATTTTGAATAACAATATCATTCATAGGACCAGTGAATTAGAACTGTGTTGTGAGGGTTGATTCTATCAGGGCTATAACTGCTCTGAGCTCTTTTGCTAAAGTTCTTGCTTGGTACTGACCACTGGTCAAAGAATGAAGGAAATATACCGATTATAACAGTGTTGCTTTGTAACCACAAGGCCAAAGGAGTTTCATGACGGCTTGCACCAGCTTGTCAGCATTGTTTACTGACAACAGTGAAGTTGATGATTTGCACTTAATCTCAGTGCAACCCCAAAGGGCTCTGCTCTTAAGGCTGGTTATACAGCAGAAATATACTGACATGACTAGCAGAGAATAAAAAAATCTCAGTTGAGACTCCATTTTTGGATCGCTGGTTATGAGGTATTCAGTGCACAAGTGGGTGGTTCCTGATGGGAGAGAGGAAGTGCATCCAGGCATGGTCCTTACGCTGGGGGCTGGGAGGGTGGGAGGGGGAGGGCCTCTGTGGCCCCTGCCTAATGGTTCTGGACTGCCTGCTGTGAGACAGTCATGGGCTGTGATGTGTATCCTGACTCTAATTCTGTTGCAATACTGAGTCTTTCTCCTGCAGTGAGCTATATATTTGTAAGCATTGTCACTGGGGTTCTGTTAGCTTCTTTAAGCAACTGAACCTTGTTAACTGGCACTGTTAGTGCAAAAGCATATCAACTTTATGAAGTATGTTTTACAAAAATAAGCAAATTCAAAGACAGTAGCAATAAAGCACAAGGCTTATAAGATGATATTAAGAGAAAGAGAATATAAATTTTATCTAAGCTATGATAGTAAAATCATAAAACTATAAAACTATGAAACTCTGTTTATTGACAGACAAGGGATTCCGGTTAAGTGTTCTTTCATTCAAAAATGTTCATTGTTTCATTATTTGAAAAATGAATAAAAAATATAACTGCCTAAAAATCAAATGTCATTTTATCTTCGGAGACTGATATTGACCTGACATATGTCAAGTCAATAGTGATATATACATATACGTATACATATACATATACGTACATACATACATACATATATTAGATTTAGAGTCAATTCATTCGTCAAGCATGGTGCCATTGATCTAATACTTTGTTCTTTCACCTCCCTTTAATAGGAAGATAAAATGTAGAAACAGCGCTGTATAGGTTATCAGATGACTGAGTTCCAGTCTAAGATCTGCAAGCAGCATGAACTGAACCACACATACGCCCTTGACCATGGCTTCTACATTTCTCAGTGATATGATGATCAAAGGAAGATAATGAACACTAACAACTCTGAACAATACTCTCTGCTATAAAGCAGTAAACAATGGTTTTAAATCATTATCATTAATACCATCAAAATAATAGGTAAGAAACTTCAATCTATAAAGGAATAAAGCAGAAGACTACAGAGGTGACATCAGAGAGGCAGGTCATGGGGAAAAAAAAACAAAAAATAGATATAATAATAGCTATGTGCCAGGTACTGTTTTTTGTTGTTGTTTGTTTGTTTTTTAGGTGAGGCAACCCTTGGTTGACCTCGCAGATTGCAAGGACCTTGTCAGTTTACAATCCCTTATTTTTTTTATTTATTTTTTATGCCTACAGCACCTGGTCTTCCTAGGTAGTCTCCCATCCAAGTACTAACCAGGCCCGACTCTGCTTAGCTTCCAAGATCAGACGGGGTCGGGCTTGTTCAGGGTAGCATGGCCATAGACTAAATACTGTTTTAAGTAAGCACTTTACATATATTTATTCATTTAATTCTCACAATTTTATAAGTACTGATATTTTGCCCATTTTAAAGATGAGGGACCTCAGACCAGAGAGGTTACATAACTCACTCAAGGTCACACATCTAGTTTCTAGTAGAATCAGGATTTGTACCTAGGCAGTATGGTTCCAGAGTCTGTACTCTGAACTACTGTGCTACATTCCAGGGAGGAGGAGAGTGGGAGGAATCTGGTGGAATGATGAGTAGGAAATAGAAGTGCAGGAAGCTCAGGAATAGAAATTTTTACTGAGCACCTACTATATACCAGGGACTATGGATAAAAACATGAGTAAGACTGTGGCCCGTGCTCTTGAAAAACCTATAAAATGGTGAGAAAGACAGATAGTGAATCTCGTTATTTCAAAACAAGGTGGCAAGTTCTTTAAAAAGTACAGAGAGGCATGTACAAAGGGCTATAGGGACACAAAGAGTGAGCACCTCACTCAGCCCAGGCTGGTGGTCTGAAGAAAGGCTTTGTAGAGTAGGTAACTCTTAGTCTAAGAATTAAGAATTATGAAATGAAGAATTGAAACGGGGAGAGAGTGGTCCAGGCTGAGGAAAGTAATGAGAGGAAAAAAAGCCTGAAGGCAAGTGAGAAGGGTACATTTAGCAAGAAGTTCCCTTCCAAACAAAGGGAACTTGTTTTTGTTTACCTCACATGGAAATCGAGCTGCTTCAAAATTTTCCCATATTCTTCATGGAGCACTTCATTCTCTTGCTGTAACTTAGATACCTTCTCTGACAATTCCTGGTTGCTCTTGAGATGCTGAAAAAAAAAATTTTTTTTAAATGAGAACATTCTGAGCTGAATAGAGGTATAATATTGGTGGAATGCAAGTTGACAAAGCCTTTCTGCTGAAAAAGGCTTACAGTGGCTCCAGCTTCTGAAACCATAGTAGCTTCCTGTGATTTCTGCACTTCTCAATTTCCTGAAAGCTAGCAGCTCTTTTCCCTGACTTTTGATCCCCCAGCCTTTTCAAAAGTCTGACACTTACTTTGTTATATAAAAAGTCTTCCAGCTTGAAGTACATAAAGTGAAGGCTGTTTTCCTGACCTACCCCTGACTGATAAAGTATTTGGTCCTAGAAGTAGTTCCACTGGACAGATCCTCAAAGATGAGAACTTCAAAGATTGGTTATCTGACCTGGTTACTTAACCAAGTATGATGTTGTCACTAGTACTAGATATCCATGACATAAGAGCTGATTAAATTATAACATAGTTGCCTGTAATGAAGTGCTTTGGGAGACTACATGACAAAGAATGTTAAAGGAGAACTGAGAACACAAGGAGTTTGGGGTGGGCTAGCCACATCTGACCATGTCAATGAGCTTTCAAGGAGAAAATGTCCAACCTGGACATTTAATTATTGGCACAACGCATAGTCAGAGACCCAGAGAGCTTCTATGAGTGCCCTATAAGAACTTCTTCTCTCTTCTAGGCAGCAGGTCAAATATCCAAAAACCGAATATCAAATTTCATCAAGTAAGATGCAGAATTACAGCACAAATTGATTTCATAGCCTTGCCAGATCTCTTATATGGAAAATAATGTTTTGTTTGGGAATGCATGGAAATCTGATAATTGGGAATGAGTACATTTGACAGAATTCCAAAGACTTTGAGCAACCAGGACCTCCAAATTCTACTGAGCCTCTCTTATCTGCATAAATGGTCCTTTCTCTGCTCTCAAGAGATTAACCACACTTGCCTTGGACTCTGTATTAACTTTTCTTGAAGCAGTTTGCTTGCTTGATTGACTGAAATTTGGACTCAACAATGGCCTATGTTAAATGACATTAAGATTCCATACTTTTTTGACATAAAGAAGAATCCAAAGGTTTAAGTACATAAGGAAATTTGGGGTAGATTTATTACAGGCGACCTACTCACCCACCTCATCATCATGACACACACCTCTCAGAAGATACTCTCTTCACTAAAGCTTTACCAAATGCACTGGTGAGGGGAGCACCAGATTTCTAGAAATGCTCTATTATAATGCCATAGGTGGTAGGAGGTGTCAACATTAAAATGGATCCCTAATTTTAATGGGGATGATGGTACTACAGAATGTCAGAAGTTGAGTGGCAATATTTAACCTCCAAATAAAAGGTGGGTACTATTACTGTTATTAGACAATAGGGCCAGAAATATAACTAAATGGTTTGACTTGTAGTAGTCTGTGGTTGTGGTTAACTGATCACAGTGATTTTAGGACAAAAATCGATGGGCAACCCATTAAAGTCTTACTTGAGTTATACAAGAAATACAGGCAGGCAGTTAGGCAAGGAAGGGAGGAAAGGCGAGGGAAGGGAGAGAGGGAGGGAGGGGAAAGAGGGAGAGGGAAGGAAGGAAGGAAGGAAGGAAGACAGGGAGGGAGGGAGGGAGGGAGGGAGGAAAGAAAAGAAAGATACTCCTGAATCCGGTAAACAGAGGCCCAAATTTGAATGACAATGGAGAGTAATGGCCTCTTACTCAATCCCCAGACCTGAGCCAGTTCAGAGACCCAAAGTCCTTCAAATTTTGGAAATACCAGGTTGTCTTCAGGAAAAACCCTGTGATATTGTCACACGTATGTGATCTTTTCCCAAACCTTCCTTAGAGATCTGTGGCCTTTTATCAAGGTGATTGGGCATTGGAAAGAGGGAAGTAGATATTTGTGGAATTATAGGGCAGTGATTCTGAATCAACACTAATGCTTTGGAACCCAAAACCCCACAGAGGTTCATAATTCAGAGCGGGACCTAACGAAGTAAGGTAAAAAATGGAATTTAAACTTGCAGTGTGTGTTAGAGTAGGTCTGCAGTGATTCACTGGCTCAGCATATGTTTCACAGTGGGCCTAGAGGGTCTGTGAATCTCTACCACCCCTGCCTGCCCCAGTGGTTATTTCCCTATTCTTGAATGTACAGTCAGAATAGACTATCTGGAATAGCGGATTCTCCACATTGGCATTCTGACTCAAGGAGTGAGGGCTATGATGGTAGAAAAGGCCAAGTGCTTGGAGTGCCTCTTCAGATTCTATAATCAACTTATACCGTATTTGCCCTTTCAACCCATTTATCAAGTTACCTTCAAGGCTGTAAGTTTTTGGTGGTACCTAAAGCAAGCCAAAGATCTGCAGTTGTGCCAGGCTGCAGTGCAAATTGTTTTGCCATGTGGGCTTTATGACTTAGCAAATCCAAAGATGATCCAAGTTTTGGTGGTAGATGATGATGTTATATGGACCCCCCATAAAAGCTCTGTGATAGTTTCACCTTAAGTTTTGGGAGCTAAGACACTCCTCCCATAATAACTATTCACTTTTTAAGGAAGGTCTTTGCTTGTGACTTGGCCCTGGTTGAGACTGAATACCTGGCCATCAGAAATCAAGTGATCAAGTAACCTGAGCTGCCCTTCCCCAAACTAGGTATCATATTATTTGCCAAGCCATGAAGTTGGGCAAGTGCAGTAATACTCTATCCTCAAATAGAAGGGCTACATAAGATACTGAGCCTGAGCAGGTCCTAAAGGTACAGAGTTGCATGAGCAAGTAGTACTAACTTCTACTACATTACCGCACCTCTCAACCCAAACCTACGGCCTCATGGGGAGTTTCCTATGACCAGTGAACTGAGGAAGAATATATTCAGGCATGATTTACATATGGTTCTGTACGATATGCTGCAACCACTCAAAATAGGGCTGCTGCAGCATTATGGCCCTTAAGGACAGTGGGAAGGGAAATCTCAGTGGGCAAAGCTTTGCCTGGAAAGAGAGATGGCCAGAGGCATGGACCTATATTAAGTCATAGGAAATTTCTAATAATTTGGCTAGTTGATCAGGAATTTGGAAATAATATTATTGGAGAACTGGTGGAAAAAGAAAAAAAAAAAAAAAGATCTGAGAAAGGGCCCTAGAACTAGAAATGCTGTCCAACAGAATTTTCTGCAATAATGGAAATGTTCTATTTCTGGACTCTCCAATATGGTAGTAGTCACTAGTCATATGTGGCTATTGAGCACCTAAAATGTGGCTAGTGTGTCTAAGCAACTGAATTTTAAATTTTTAAAATATTTTAATTAATTTAAATTTAAACCACATGTGGCTAGTTGACACATTATTGGACAGCATAGGCCTAGAGTGTGAAAACACATGTTAAAATTATGTGTTTTTGCTCGCTGGAGGGCATCTGCAGGAGAGGTGGCTCTCAATAATCAGGTGAAAAAAATGGTACCTTCTGTAGATGTCAGCCTCTTTTTCCAGGATCTATTTCCTTGCTCAGTGGGCTTATGTACAAAGTATATGGTGGCAAGAATGTATTTTACAAGGAGTCACCAGTGCTAATCCATTCAATTTGCCAAAAGCAAAGATCGATGTTGAGCAAGTGTTATGGCATCACCCATTAGGGGTTTATTATAGGCAGGTTTATTACACTAGACCCCTTCCATCATAGAGAGAATAACAATTTGTCTTCACTAGAAGAGATGCTCATTTTAGTGGATTTGCTTTCTCTGTCCATAATGCTTTTGCCAGGACCACCATCTGTGGACTTAGCAAATTTCTTATTTCTCGTCATGATATACCATTTGACATTGCTTCTGACCAAGAAAATCATTTTACAGTAAGAGAAGTGGAACGAGGGTTCATATACATGAGAGTCATTGGTCTTACCCTATACCCCATCATCCAGAAAAAAAACTAACCTGAGAAACAGTGGAAAGACCTATGGAAGATATAATTATGGTGCTGGCTAGGTGACAACATCTTTTGGGGTTAGGTGATATCCTATCAGATGATGTTTAAACTTTTAACCAGTTATTAATAGTATATGATAATATTTCCCTCATAACCAGAATACATGGAAAGGAGCAAAGAGATGAAAATGGGAACAGTTTCTCACACATTTGGGAATCACAAAATGTGTATTATTATATTTTTGGTAGTTAACTTCATAATTAAGTTTTAAAGTTACAGTATGTCCATGTGGATTGAGACTGAAGAAGCAGCAATTAACATTACCCCAAAATGATCATGGATACTGATGGGATGTTAAGAGGTTAAATGTGTCTTAATTTATATGACTGATAGTGCATCATGAAGGTGAGAGTATAATGTTCTTCGTGTTGTTGATTCGGTTAAATATGGGTAAAAGGGTTTCTATGGATGTTGACTACACAAAGTGGACTGTGCTGTTCTCAATATGACCCCCATTTTTCTCAGCTCTCCCCTGTGCTGCAAAGTTGGACATCTGAAAACTGCATTTCTCAGACTCCCTTAATAGTTTAGTTTCTGCAAATGAGAGGCATTTGCACATGGTGTAGAAAGCACTGGTGGGAGGAAAAGCCATTTTTTTCCTCTAACACTAGCAGGTAGGTGAATGGGCTGACAGCAGATGAGACAATAGGAGCTTCAGGGAGAGTAACTGCAAATTCTCCCCATTTGGGTGCTGCAGGAGTCGGCTTCCCCATGATTTCTGAACTTTGGCACTTATTGAAAGCCAGCAGCAGTTCTTTCTGACCCTCACTCATCCTTATCTCTCCCTTCCAACAGTTTTATAAGCATATTATTCCCTATGTTAAATCCTTTCTTACTTCAAATCTCTTCTTACCTGGAACAAATTCTACTTTCCTGACTAAAACCTGACTAAGCTTAATGTGCAAAGTGCTAGACACTCAATAATTATTTGCTATTACTCAGGTCTATGGGAACTGGAAAACCAAGAAGCATATCTATACTTTCTTACCTCATCAGATTTTCTTTTTTCATTTTCCAGTTGTTTAAGTTGGGCCTCTTGTTGCTGAATTCTGGATTGTTGCTGAGAATTGGTCATTTCCAGTTGATTCTCTTTATCCTGTAAGATTTTCACTTTCTTTTGTAGCTCATTCATATTCTGATCTAGGAGTTTCCTGAGGACAATTAGTGTACACTAAATCACACTGTGAATTGCAAAGCTTCACAAATGAAACCATTTGAGATAAAATGATTATACCATAAGAGGATATTTTGGATTTAATGAGGTAGGCTATATGTCCATAAGAAAAGGAACCAACACAAGGTACCTCCTCTGTGAGAAAAATCTTTTCTTATTTTTCTCTTTCTCCTCAAAACAACACTATGAAGAAGAAATAATGTCTTATTTCACAGAGGAAGCCGTGGCCCAGAGTTTTAATTAACTTGCTCAAGGTTACACAGCTAGGACAAGATGGAGGTAGGGCTCTAATCCTGAATCTCATATTCTTTCTTCTTTTTCTCACTGCTTTATGAGCCCATTGATTGTCTTGGTCCAATACAGGACTGTTAGTTTCAAATGCTATTGATACTAATGCACACATGTTAACACTGCTATAGCTGAATCATGAATGAGCTTATGTTTGATGAGTGTTAAAAAAGAAACAACAGGTCCAAAATGGAGTCAACTTGGAAATACCTGGTCGGCTCTAGTGAGGTAATCTGCTTGACAGACCCCCACCCTTCTCCAAAGGAAGGTGACCATGCCCCAAATAATCTACCATTTGCTAGAAACTTCCTTTCCCTCCACCCTCTTCTGCCTATAAAAGCCTTCCATTTTGTACAGCTTTTTGAAGTAACTTCTTATTTGCTAGATGAGATGCCATTCAATTCATGAATTGTTGAGTAAAGCCAATTAGATCTTCAATTTTTTTCAGTTGAATTTTGTATTTTTAACATGAGGAAATTTGTTCTTTTCCAAAAGGGCCATAAGTACTTAATTCCTTCAGAGGGAGTTTCATCAGACTATGGTTTGTAAAAAGTTTCTGAGGATTTCAGACCAGGTTCTTTGGAATTAGGAGATTTATGAAGAAGAATATCATGATGGTAATGATGATATAGTACTGGTGGGATAAATACTCACCTACATTCTGAGTCACTAAAATACTGATATTGGACAAATAAGTTTTCTTTCTATACCTTTAATTTTTTCAATAATCAATGGATTATTGGGAAGGATTGATATTTGAGACATGGGGCTCATATCTCTCAACCTCTAGTTCTTCTCATGTTTCTGGATATAAGCACAAGCTTTCCGAAGACTGTTGTAGCTTACCTTCTACCATTCACATCCACCTCTGTGCCAACATCCCCCCTTTCAACTCTATTTCATCTAATTCATTATATAAGTGACCAGTTCCTTGTTATTACTGTCAATTTCTTCTTCTTCTTCTTTTTTTATTCCATTCTGAATTTCTGATCAAGAGATAATACTAAGAGATAATCCTTGGAGCTGAAAGGCAAGTTTTAAAAATTTGCTAGCACTAAAAAAACTTGAGTTCCCTGCAGTAAAATTTAGGAGTTAGAAACTTAAAAAGTAACTCATAAATATGTTAGAAATTAATTTCTATACTATGTTTAGAGCTTGAACAATGAAAGATTAACAAATAAACCAGTTCTGCCAGTGAATAAAATTAAGAAATCAGTAGATTAATAAGATTCTCTGTCTCCCTAATAACTTTAACCTTTCTTTCAGTCCATCCTATACATAGCAAGCAGAGTGTTCTTTCTAAATCACAATCCTAATCATATCACTCTCTCTGCTTCAAATCCTCAATGGTTCCCCATTACTCTTAAGATAAAGTTCAAACTTTCATATGACTTGTTAGCTTGCTTACCTTTCTAGCCTCATTTTCTTGCCATTCCCTGTGCCCCCAAACATTTTGTTCTAGGCAAAATGAACTTTTTTCACTTTCTGAAACAAGTCATCCACACTTATTCCTCCTCTGCAACTCCAGCCTTTTCCCTGTCTTCCCCTTCTAGGCCTTATGTTGCCTGATACTCTACTTAGCTTTCCCATACCACCTACTTCACTCTCAGCTTAAATAGCTTTCTCCAAGGAAGGCTTTCTTGCCTTCTCTAGACCAGATTAGGTGGCCCTGCTATGTGTATCGCAGCATCCTAAACTTTCCTTAGTATAACACTTATACTTCATTGCAGTTGCAAAGTCTTATGTATAAAGATAAAGATATTCATTATAGTGAGACTGAGAGTCCTGAATTATGATTTTGATTTAATATGTAGCCTCAGCACTCTGTTCAGTTTCTTCACAGCATGTTTTGCAAGCCTTAGCCATTTCCTTTATCAGTCATTAACCCCTTGAGGCAGCCAGAAACAATGGTCATGACTTGACTAAGGGTCACAAGGTATGAGTTTCAGTTAAGCTCAAGATAGTATCTTGACCTAAGTTATGTTTCAGCTTCTTTATGTTTCAGCTCCTGAGCTCTAAGGTGGAACAACCTCCTGGCTACTTTTCCATGAAACCAGACAAAGGGATGCCAGAGTGGACCTCAGAATTGTCCAAAAGACCTGAAGAAATAATTTATTACCTTTACCTCACCTTTGACCAATCAACTCTCAATACAACCTCAAATCCCTAACCCACGGTGTCTTGTGATTTGGACCTACATAATCTGTAACCTACACACCATCAGTTGTTCGGGCTTTTGAGCATTAGCTTCCCATCCTCTTGGTTGGCACCATTCATAATAAAAAAGCCAATTTTTCTCCACTGCAATTTTCAGTGTTTAGTGTTCGGCTCTTTCTGTTTGATAATAATAGCATTATTTATAAGCAAAAATGTCTAAAAAACATTTTACATAAATAATGATAGATCTATGTTAACAGGATGTTCTATAACTGTTTAAAAGAACACTATGTAGTTGATAGATGGTCACGGGGATGGGGAGTGTGGCATAGGGAATGCGGTTACCATTACTGTATTGGCTAGGTGGAAAACCAGAGGAGAGAAGGAGCAAGAAGGGGGATCATTTTATAAACTATATAAATGTCTAACCAATGTACTATATACTTGAAACTAATAAAAAATAAAATAAATTTAAAAAGAACACTACGAAATTATAAATCAATAACAGAAAGATAGCTGGAAAATCCCAAAATATTTTGAGATTAAACAAACAAACTTAGTTCTAAAAAATGCATGTGTCAAAAAAGAAATCTCAAGGACTTAAAAAATATTTTGAACTACCTGTATTTTACATGAAAATGAAAATACAACTTAGAAAATTGTAACCGTACCCAGATTTCACTTACAGCTTTTTCTTTGATTCAAGACGGTTCTGCCTAGATATTGGCATTGTGAGTCATTTGCTTTTTTCCACCCTTTTCTTTCCACCTTTGTATGCCTGCTCCCTTCACCATTAAGCTTGAGAACATAAAGTTCTGGCCAGTGTCAAATCCTTTAAGAACGAAGCATCAGGTCTACCAATCATGAGGACAATCTTGGCTTTAGATGTGTTCTGCCTCAGGCCCATCAAGGCGAAACAGCCCCAGCCACCATGGGATGACGCCATGGCTGACTGTAGAACCAGAGGGACAAGATGATCAATTACTCCAGCCCTGTCCAATCAGTAGTGCCCACAACTCCAACTCCCTTGGTTTCCATAACTAAGAATTTCCCCCTATATAATCTATTCCCTTGAGACACCTGGGAAGCCAGGCCTTTGAGCGATAGCTGGCCTGTGTCTAGGACTTGCAACTCTCTCTACAAATAAATCCTAACTTTCTTTGCTGCAAAATCTGTATGTATTTCATTGACTTAGACCAGTGCAGGTAGACAGGCCCCTTTGTTCTGATAACGAAATTTCTGGGATGCAGCAAAAACTGTGCTTCAAGGGAAAATTATAGCATTAAATACAAATATTATAAAAAAGAAAAATAAACAATCTAGGCTTCCACCTTAGGAAAACTAGAGAAAGAGACAAATATAAGCCTAAATAAAGCAGAATAAAGGAAATAAGAAAAATCAGAGCAGAAATCAATGAAATTGAAAATAAGAAAACAATAGAGAAAAACTATGAAACTAAAGCTGGTTCTTTGAAAAGATCAATAACGATAAACCTCTAATCAGGCTAACCAAGAAACAGAACATAAACTACTAACATCAAAAATGAAAGCGGGATCATCACTACTGTCCGGGAGAAAAAATTTTCCTCTACCCTTCGAGGTTCTTCTGGCTGATCTAATAATCAAATTGACATGAAACAGATTAGCAGGAGAAAAACAAATTAAAGGAACACATATACTTTCTGTATACATGGGAGAGACCCAAGAACACTAAGTAACTTGAGAAGATGGCAGAAACCTTTACCTTAAATACCACCTTCAGCTAAAAACAAAAAATGAAAGTGGGAGTGAAGAATCGGTTATGGGAGGTTGCCAGGAAAAAGCACAATAAAAATAAACAAGGATATTATTATTATGCAGATTTAAGTCCACACCTTCTCCATCAATAACAGTTTCTAGAGATATCCTCCTCTTCCAGGTATAGAAAGGGAAACACCTTTAAAAGTGTAAATGTCCTTTAACAAAGGGTAACTTATGCTCAGTTTTCAGAGCTTCTCCCATGTCTTATGTTTCTTAAAATTAATCAGCCTAAAATAATATCTCAAAGAGGCATATTTTGAGGTGGCAAACTCTGCTCCCCTTCACTACTGAGCTTAGGGACATTAAGAGGACAATAAAGGCATATTATGAAAAACTCTATGCTCACAAGTTTAATAATATAGATGAAATGGACCAATTTCTTGAAAGATACAATCTGCTAAAACACAAGGAGAAATAGATACTCTTAATAGGCCTATATCCATTAAAGAAATTAAATAAATATTTAATAACCTTCCAAAAAATAAAGTGCTGGGCCCAGGTGGTTTCATTAGTGAATTCTACCACACATTGGTGAATTCTACCAATTATCTACAATCTCTTCCAGAAAAATTGGAGAGGGGACACTTTCTGGCTAATTCTAAGAGGCCAGCATTACCTTAATACCAAATCTGGATAAGGATATTACAAAAAGGAAAACTGTAGACCATTATCTCCCATGAACATGTCCAAATTGCTTTATGTGGCTGGTTAGGATTGGCATAGCCAGGCCTAGCTCATCTTTCTAGCCTTGTTTTCTTGTCACTCCCTTTATCCCCAAACATTTTGTTCTAGCCCAAAGGAACATTTTTCACTTCACTGAAGATAATGATGATGATTATAACAATAGTAACATCAAATACTGCAATCACAATAACAATAGCACCTTTACAGTAGTGGCTTTGTAATGTGTCACTTGGCTAGGATTTCTGTCCATGTATGTTTCTGGTTAGAGTGGGCTACAAGATATGTATCTGTGTAAGATTTGGAGGGCAGAACTGAAGCATTTTGTTTTTTATGCTTGGAAAGCTGGACCATATGCTTCTGTAGCTCATATATGTTGCAGTTTATCTGCTGCTCGCCTAAGCGTGAGGTAACAGTGGGCCTGCAACCATTCCACCTTCCCTCGGATTCTCCTTCCCTTGTTCATTTCCTGGGCCAAGTGTCTGTTTAGCTTCTTGATGAGGGGGACCAGCTTCTCCTGCAGGACATCTACTTTACCAAGTTTGGAGGCAGTGAGAACTGACATGGGTTCCAGTCCATCTTCGTGTGCTCAACTTGTATTCATGAGTGCCAGCCTGATGTTGCTCTCTCTCACTTTATATACATTTTTACTTCCTGTTTGCCCTGCAGACTTCAAGCTCCAGCATATGATGCAATCATTGACAGCTTTACAGACTGTGTACCTGTTCCCACAATTGCATAAGACTAAATCCTTGTAACACATCTCTTATTAAATATATTTTCCTCCTACTGGTTATACTTCTCTGATTGAACTCTGACTAATACAAGTGCTTACTATGTGCCAGACACTGATACGAGCCAACTGCTTATAACTCATTTAATATACACAAATCTTATGATGTAGGTATGATGTATGTAGGTATGGACAGGCACTGAGAAGAAACTTGCCCGAGATTATACAGCTATTAAGTGACTAATAAGACAACTGTGTTTTATTGTTATAAATATATTCCAAAGCAATATATTTAAAATGATTCAACTCTTCTTAACAATACAAAATATATGCATAAATATAGAAAAAAATCTGAGAAATATGTAGCAACTACTTAAAGTGGTCATTGCTAAAGATAGCCTTCTGAAGAACTTATGCTTTTTATTTTATATAGCTCTTTAATATATGAATATGTTTATTCATAATAAACAGAATTATAATCATATTTGCCAGTATTTATCTCAACAATAATAAAAAATATGCACAAAATATGCACAAAAATTTGGCTACAAGGATATATATTATGTCATTGTTTGCTATAGTAAGAAACTGGGAAAAATGTAAATGTCCAACAATAAAGGACTGATTAAATAAAAATATGGCATATTATTAAAATAATGTTCTAGGAGAAGATTTAATGGCAGTAAACAGATCATTATATTTTAAATGAAAAAAGTATAAGTTACAATCTAAATATCTAAATTGGGGTTGTTTTCCTCCAGGTTACAAAACAATGTATACTAGATACCTCCTTTTTTTGTGGAAAAGAAATTTCCTACATATTTCATTTTCCTTGGTTTAAATATTACTTCTAGGTATTTATTCTCCACCAAAAAAATGTATAGAACTGGTATTACTATTCCTACTTTAAAGATAAGAAATCAAGCTTCAAGAAAATTAGTTTTTTTCCTTGTTCAATTTTTTGTCTACATCTTTTGTTTCCTTAAAAACTTCACACAGTTGTTTTATAATTGATTCTTCATAATTCCAGTTGCTGAAGTTCTTGGGGGTTATAAATTTGGTGTTTGTTGTTTCTGTTGACTTTTATTCATTGTGTTACTTGGTTTTCGATTGTCGGCACATATTTGATTAAACTTAACATATGAGAATCCTCAGTATCTAAATTGGAGTTGCTCTCCTCCATAGATCATTTGGATTTTCTTAGTTAAGAAGCCAGGGGGATGCCTACTGGGGAATATTTTAGTTCCTTCAAAATTCCTAGCCAGGTACTAGAGTCTCTAGTTCAACTATCTCACCTTGTGGCAAACTTCCTCAGTTTATTCTTTTAACCGGGGTTGATACTGTTATTTGCCCCTTGACATAGGAGTTTGTTTATCATTTATCATTTTTGTTTTACCTCACTGTATTTTTGCCCTTAGGGCTTTCTATTGCTTTGTGAGCAATGCTTTAAAAGGTATATTTATTGGTTTATTCAGATCCAGTAGTATTACAACAGGAGGATAGTATGCCATCCTGCTAAAAGTAACAGCGAGACAAGTATTTTTCTACAGTATCTCACTGAGTGAATCAATTATTTGTTTGTACATTCATTCATTCACTTACTCATTCATTCATTCACTAAATATTTACTGAGTACCTACTGAGTGTCAAGCCCTATGCTAGAACTTTTAACTAGAACTGAAAGAAAGCTTCTGAACTTCATGGTATATGTGGAAGTCTGTATATCTTTTCAGTGACTAAAACTATTTTTCTTAAAATACATGTGAATCACTGTGAATGATACTTAAGTTTAGGGATCTGAGAAGATCATTTAGTAAAAATCCAAATGATAATCATAATTTTAGAAAAAAAAATAGCTCCTAACTGGTAGCAGCTTATTGATGAATAAGGTACCCGTAAAGTACTTGGAAATTTTTTGAAGAAAATCAGCTGACAAATACAAAATACCAACTTCATTCTAGTCTGCATTTTGTGCCAATCATTTTAGAGTTAGAAAAACAAATCCCAGAATATCATATTTCCTGGGCAATCCAGTCATTCAGGAAAATTTACTGGTGTATCAAGTGTGTCCCCAAACAAGAAATAATACCTGCCATTAAGAACCCCACACTCTAGTACGAAAGGCATACAAGAAAAGAAATAATCAAAATACAGTGTGATAAGTATGACATATAAGAAGTTGTGTGACTGAGTTTACATCAGTGGGGACACCGAGGAAACACATTGGTAAATTGACACTGCTGGTAAACCCAGTCATGGTTAGCTCACAGGAAAATGACATCTTGCTCTTCTTACCTCTTCTGTTTTTCTTCTTGATAGTGTTGCTTTGTTTTAGCTTCATTTTCCATTGCTTCTCTAATCCTTTCCTGTAGCTGCTGCTTCTCCAAAATATAAGTGTCTGTGAGGCAGACTTTATGAGCATGCTCTAATTTCTGCAGCAGATCCAAAATCTTGAATGAAAAAGTTTACAAATAAAACTTTAAGAAGAGTGTGCCCTATTTTCCAATTTGGAAAATATCATATAAATAACAAGCATAGTAGTGTAGGGCTAACAAAGAAATTTGATCTAAAGAGTGTGGCTAGATTTATTTTTATTTTAAAATAAATTACTTAAGTTTCATAATATATAATACCTTCACAAAGTTAAATGTGTGTGTGTCTGTAAACAAAGTTATATACTGAAAAGTCTCCATCGCATCTCATCCTGTCTTCCTCCACCAAATAGATGACCGCTATTAGTTTCTTGAGCCCCTTTCCAGAGATTTATTTATGCACATATAAACAAATATTTTATAGTTCTCTCCAGGAACACATTTTTACACAAATGATGGCATATTACATATATTCATGTACCTTGCTTTTTTAATAAAAATACACTCAGTGATTTTTCCATATTATACATCTATATAGATAATTGTCTTTTCTTTTACAGCTACATGCCATTCCACTATAAGAATACACCATCACTTAACTAGCCTCCTACTAATGGACATTTAGGTTGATTCCAATCTTTTGCTATTACAAACGATGTCTCTAGAATACCTTATGAGACATGGATTTGTCAAGGTAAAGGTTATTATTTGTTTGTTTGTTTGATAGCTAATGCCAAACTGTCTTCATAGGTATTAAATCGAAGTACACTTCTAACAACATGTGAGTGTCTGGCCTACACTGTGGCTACATTCATGGATAATATCTCAAAACAAAGTAGAAGTCTCTTACAAATGAGTACCTATTAGCATATTGCCTAGCACCAGTAATAGGTGGTAGAACTAAAAATGAGATTTATTAATTTGAGAGATAGATATTTTATTTTAAAATTTATGTTAGATTAAAACTGTCATTAAAAATTTTTTTTGTGAGATAAATTTCCTTTTAAATTTGTTTACTAATTTTTTATAAACCTTCTGTTACCTAAGTTTATGACTGGCATATAGTAAGTGTTCAATAAATATTTGTTGAATGAATAGATTTCAGAATAGCTATTCTTTCTTTATTATATTCCTGACCCCAAAATGAATCCTTCACATTGATTTGGCGCCACATTCCCCACAAACGTTCTGTGAATGCCAGTGGATGGCAGTCCTCTTCTAAGAGAAGGACTTTCTACATTAGCCCCAAGCCTTGGTACGTAGGTCCCTGAAGAGCCCACACTTCATAGGAGAGGTAGAGATACAGAATGATCCAAGGACAATAACAGTGGGCAGCCAGTCATTTGAGACTAGGTCAAGTTTTTTGAGCTGCCCCATATAGATAAGAGTAGCACCCTACTGGCTTCTCTGTTAAGGATATATGTCAAACCTTTGAACCCACCACCCAAATTAAGAAAGAGAATATTTCCAATATATTTTTTATAAATTTATTTATTTAAATTAGTTTCACATATACAGTACATTGGTTAGACATTTATAATGTTCACAAAATGATCCTCTCAATTGCTCCCTCCCTCCCCTGGCCCTCCACTGAGCCATCATATTAATGCTAACTGCATTCCCTCTGCCTGCTCCCCATGCCCAACTATCAACTACTAATTTGTACTTCTTTAAACCTTCACCCCATTCTCTCAGCCTCCTAACCCCGCTCCCCTCTGTCTGTCACCAAATTGTCCACTATATTTGTGAGTCTGTTTTTGATTAGTTTGTTCTTTTGTTCCCTAGATACTGCATATAAGTGAACTCATATGGTATCTATCTTTCTCTGTCTGACTTATTTCACTCAGCATAATACCCTCTAGGTCCATCCACATCATTACAAATGGTAGGATTTCATTTTCTTAATGGCCGAGTAATATTCCATTGTATGTATGAACCAATCGTCTGTTGATGGGCATTTAGGTTGCTTCCATATCTTGGCTATTGTAAATTGCACTGCC